ACGAGTATCGTACGTATCGTTCTGTACCGTACACGTCCCCAATGATCTTGAACACATCGAACTTCAGTGCTTTTTGGCGAAAAAAAGCTGCTTTTGATACCGCCGAATTCTTTCTTCTTTCGGGGCTGAGTACAATTACCTCTAGTTTTACTTCTCCTCCCGATACAGTAATACAATTATCGAACCAGAGATGCAATTTGACAATGCGTTGTTACTTGCTATCCTATGAAAGCGCCAAAGTTTTGACGCAATCAAACTCTTTAAGGGGCGAGTCATAAAATTATATCCGAGCTCGCCAGAAACACAACAGTTGCTTCGGAATCGCAATTCGTCAGAAAATACACGACTTCTTACCGGAGTCGGGTCAAGGTATAAAATACMCCWTGACAATGAGACGAGGTGCAGCAGAGCATTGCCTCTTTCAACGATACCTCTACTGTTGCTTACTCATCATGTTTGCAGTCATAGTTCAGGCTGGATGCTTCGTGCCATCATCGCTGCCCTGGACTAACAAGCAGAGGAATGGCAGGATCGGTTTGCRTCCAAGACGTCTTGCTACGAGACCTGGCGAAAATGCCGATTTGTTACCCCTATCCTCTTTCGACAGGAAGAAGTTGCATCATATGAAAACGCGCGGGCGTGTCATACCAATCATTTTCATGGCCGAACCCTTGATCCCTGGCCAGAGGTTGCATTTTCGGTCCGGGGATCCCAAGTTCGAAGAGTTGATCAAGTACATAGCACAGAGCGAGCAGAACTACGCCGACCACGGTGCTAGTGCCGCAGGAAAGATAGAGATTGGCATAGTGGCTTTCGATCCCAAAAACAAGCAAATTTTAACCACTGGTGTGACATCTCCTGTTCAGACCAAAGACTTTGCGTATAGCCTAACCGCCGAGAACCAAGAAAAAGCAATAACGACTAGTTTCAGGGGGACCCGACTTTTTCGATTGATGAGTGAGCCGTGGATGGATCCTAGCGGGTCGTTCCATATGGCTCATGTCGAAATCCTCGATGGAAGATACGACGACCAAAAGCTCGTCCAGAGGGGAAAGATTCAGAGTGATTCAGACAAACTGTTCTCTTTGATCCCACCAATGGTCGACGATTGGATGGAATTGATGTTCGAGGCTGGTTTGGCGACGCCCGCTTCATTGAGATTGTCGCTGCAAGACACCGTCGCCACCGAAATGCAACAAGAACGGCTACAAACAGACAACGATCCCAGTCACCGCACTCGCCGTCGGAACAATAATTATGCGCTCTACCCTCCGAGGCGCCAAATGGAAAGAGCCGTTTGGGTCGTAGCATTGCTCAACCCAATTCGAAGGTATTCGACCCGAGTGAGCGACGAAATTCGTCCTGCTTTCTTGGCATGCCGCAACGATCGAGATCGATTGGCACTGTGCGTAGAAGCTCTCCATACTAGTTTAGGTTTCTTGGAGATATATGTCGAAGCGAAGAGAAGAGGGGGATCTGAAAAGGACGAAGACGGAAGTGGCGAAATAGGGTAAGGATCGAAAAATCAACCGCAAGATCCATCYACACGTACTGTGGGTAGGAATAAGAATGAAAACTATGTATGCGAAATTTATTTCCAGTGGAAAGTATTTTACATGTCTGGTGAAATTTTGCGGTGCGAAAAAGTTTTGAGCAACAAYTTCTGAGTTTATTTCTGCCGATATCTATTCCGTTTCTATCGTCTGTCTCGTCCATTTGAGACCCGCATCGTCTTCTCTCTGTGTTATGCTCTCCAAGATGTGTTGCGGTATCATTGGCTCTGATTCCAAGAGTTCTTCGTACTTTTCTATCCACACATCGAGCATTCTGTCATCGATCTCGCTGTGGTGATAGTAAGACATCTTGTCTCCAATGAGATTTTCCAGTTGGAACCTCATYTTTGTGTATTGTTTGAATGCGATTAGGTGGTTTTCCCCTCTTCTGTGGTATGCAGTAGWTTTCATTATCGCCTGYAACACAGTGTTGAAGGCTGCAAGAATGCCTGCCGTCACCGCCAAAGAGTTGTATGTACCAGCTTGAGCTGCTTTAGCAGCTGYGCTTGGCACAAGCGAAGTAAAAATGGCGGAGGATGTTATAGCCGTAATTGTGATGGAGGCAGTATTAAAGTACATATCTTTCGAGATATATTTATCGGCCAGGTGGCTGTGGCAAGATTGCCGAATGACCATGCTGCGATACCAGACTTTTAATGGTTTGCTTGAGGTGCCTAGGTCGCTCTCTAGCGACAATATCGACGCCCTGCGACCATGGAGCGACGCTTTGCTGTCCACCGAAAATGTGATCTCTTCTTCTTCTGGTTTCCAAACCCTGTTCCAAAAGCCCTTTGGAGAATCTACAACAAAATTKCTATCCCTCTCCATGTCACTGGCAGTGTCAGCGTCGCTAGCGCTAGCTTTGCCGTCGTCTTCGATGCTTTTCTGAGSTTCATCCGTGTGTGACATCGATTTGGCTTCTGGACTCCTAGGATTTTCTAGATCCTCTTTAATKGTATTCGGATTATTGTCGGCTGCACTTACTAGGGTAGCATCAGTAGCGGCGTGCGACTTYGTGGGCTCCATGTCGGCTGCTAGGTGTTTTCTCCGTCTCTCAATGGACAATAATATTGAGTGATCTTTCACGTCACGTTGAAATAGTTATCGGCCCGGATCTATTCCCAWAAGCTAGATATCCTAAATCTTTTGAAGAGGTGAGTGAGTTTGAATCAACAGCGTATTCACTTACGWCTGATTCACCGCACTCAATTGGGTTGTCTTCTCGATGCAATTTTCCGAGTTATTTGGGTGACGTAACGGATATTACCAATCATCAATAGGAAGTACAGTACTGTTGTATTTAACATAGACCACTCCGATGTGATCGGGGAGTTTTTGATTTTTAAATCCTGCACATCGAAACTTGACGGTTAATTTGYTTGCTCTTGTTGTGCGACCTCGCAGTTCCTCGAAGTTGTGTGTAYGGTAGCCTTGCCTTGTTGCGGATTCATTCTTCCGAGGTAGCAAACCTGGCCTCGAAATTTTCGAACGAAAAACAGACATGCTTCATYGCGCAGCTCGTCTCTCTCGTCAATTTTGTGAGAGAAACCATTTTGTGAGATCTTGCCCCCCCCCCGCGCGCTCGTTCCATGACCACTTTCGCGCGTGTCTAGCTTCGTGAATGAAACAAAAGAAGAACATTGTGAACGAGGGAACGAGAACGAAGTGCACACGAAGAACCCAATCAAATTTGAACGAATTATCGTAGTTTGGTACCGTACGTACCAAGTACGGTTCTGTAGGAGAGATAGATTTGAGATGACGTTGATTAGATTTTGTTTCTGCGAAGCAACCCGATTCTTGTTGTTGAATCTCGAAAAGAACCAAAACTCGTGTACGAAAAAGAATTCTTTGTTCTTGGCGTCACATCAGAAATTATTGGAGACCGTCGGAGAATTTCACACCTGGGGTCACAAATCACTAAAGTGTTGCAACACAAATACGAAATGAGGAATGGTGATGATAGGGGCGCTCTGACCGATTGGGGTTGGATCTCTCGTTGGTTCCATTCTACGATCGGGATCAATGCCCTGAAGTCRTGGCCTTCCGGGATACTTGTTCGGTCTTTGAAAGACGACTATCCTCTGTGGATGGCATCGGTATGGGTTCTATGGAAACAGCAAGCGCAAAATCGCAGAGGAATCTCTATGGATGGCTCCTTGYCGTCTGTSCGGACGAGGGCAGCCAATGACAAGCTTGGAAGTAGTACCATAATAAATCTTCTCGTCGACTGGGTCGTTTTGGGATCCTTATTGATCTATAAGAAGTCTCGCGAAGAAAGCAGTTGTCCTGGTGACGACGAGGACGAAATACCGAAAAGAAATGCTAGATCAGAAGACGGCAAAAATATTTCTGAAAGGAACGAGGAAACCGATCCGATAAACGAGCTGCGAATGCTGCTGAAGCAACACAGCACGAGTTCTTCTAAGCAACTTGTAATGCCAAAGCCGGGAACGAGAACRAGATCTACGAGCCTGTCGTCGAGCCAGGACGTATATCCACCGCCCGTTCAGCTTTCTTTCAAGCACCCACCATCGGTGCAGCGAACGACTGTATCGCTCGGGATAACGCAAGGCGAAAAACACGGCAACCAGCAACGATACGCCGAGTTGCTTGTGCACAACGTATCGCACACAGATCTCGTGCTGAGTTTGGACGCTCCCCGGCTGCCATCGTCTACTACTGGTTTTGCGATGGACGGGAACGATCCCTATTGTCTCTGCAGACCCCGCTTTTCCGCCTTTGATGCATATTCACAACGGTTGGTTGACTTTTTGCAGGGATGTCGGCAGAGAGAACTCGAAGAAGCTGTKATTCACTTGCCTCGGTACGAACGGAACGACAAAACTCAGCAACCGCAGCCTTCRTCAGAGAATTTCAGAGACGACATCCCCATAGGGTTTCGATTGAACGATGACCGAAACGACAAATCGCACCGACCCCTCCGGGTRTCCCCATCCGAACTCCACAATCTGCGCGTGCGTGGTCGTGACGCTTCGAGAGTCGACGCCTGTTCTTCTCCGATGTCGCCCAATAGCACACTGAACATYAATGCCGTCTTTTTCCCATTGCTCGCAACTTTGATGCCTCTGTGGGAGGACAGAATCCACCAAAAATACAATTTTCCATCTGCTACAACCCAATCCGCTCTGAAACCAAAACAAGTTTTGATTCTTGTTAGCGGCGTAGGCCAACCCCGGAATTGGACGCATTCCGCAAAGGGAAATTCTACAGAACAATGTGCAGAGCTCATGAAGATGTTTTTGAAGGTAATCTTTCCCGAACTTGTCGTGTTGCACATCCATTCCGATACGAATATCTTCCGCTACGACGAAAACATCGCGTTCGTCAACCAGGAACTTCTTCCCCGGGTACAGGAATATAGAGATGCGCATGCCAAAGGATTRCCGTAYCCAGACGAAATCATAAATCTTTCTTCAACTGCAAAAGATAGCATCGACCAAGATCGGCCTTTCTCTACGGAATGGAGAAAGTCATTCTCYATTACGATCAGCTATGCCGACGGGTCGCCCGCACGAAATTCAGCTATTCAAGCCGCTCTTCGAACCTTCAAACCTACGTATTATCATTTCTGGCAGCTCAAAACCTTTTGGCACGAATCGAAAATCGTAAACAGCGATGTCGAGGTGCACTCCTTTGAAGAAATAGAAACTTTGCCCCCCGTGGAAAGCAATCAGCTACAGGATGGGTCACTTGTGAAGCGAGTTGTAGAAGAAATGAAGAACTTCCGAGACGATTTTCTCAAGATACTTTCGAACTCATCGGACGATTCGAACGACATCCGTGCCTTTTGGTTGCGCAAGAGTAAGTTCAATCCAAGGTAAAAGAAGCACAGAACCTGCAAGTTCCAACATGGAAGGGACGTGACCCAATGCCATTAYTTCTAACCCCACCTTTGCCTCATTTTCTGACACCCGAAGCCCACAAACCTGTCATAGCTATACTTGCTGTACAGCCTCCCAATGGAGAACTCAAACTCTATCGGGGCACAAACATGGAAGTCAGCATGCCAACTGGATCTCTTTGTGCCGAGCGGAACGTTATTGGGACTGCCTTAGGTAAGATAACGAACACGGATTTCAGGTGGGCAAATTTTGTTCAAATCAACCTAACAAGTCTTATTTTTACACCGATCAGCGGATAATCCGTCTTTGAGACGCCAAGATTTGAARATGGTTGCGGTCTTGGCGGTTCCCAATCCTAAACAACTCCAAGCCTCGACAAGCGTGGGTGGGCTTCCTCGGTCGCAGAGCCTGAACAGCGTTGCCAGTCTAGTAACAGCAACCGTAGAGGACGAATCTAGCCTCGGAAGACCTTCGCGCAAGTCCAGTTTGGGGGGAGAAGACGAATGGATTGTTCAAGACCATTCTATCTTCGCTGGRCAGGACAATGCACCCGTCTTTGTAGACAAGAAGACGTTGTCATCTGGACAATCAGATCCCGAAGATGTTCAGCCAAACGCAACATTAGATTCTTCGTCCCAGTCATCGACCCCCGTGCGAAGAATATTTTTGTACAACAAACCACAAAAGCAAACAAGAAAACAAAGACGAGCCGTAGTTGTTCATTCTGGTCACGTGAGTCGAAACAAGGTTGGCCCGTGGTGTGTTGGTGTCGTCTTTTCTATGTCTCCTCAAACTCTTCTTTCTACACTTGACAGGAYATAAATCCGCTGCGCCCTTGTGGCGCATGCAACGAATGGCTGAAGAAGGTACGTGAAGACCGGGTGCATGGAATGATTCTGATAGACGTTTTGTGTTCCTAGGGAAGAACAAAGAACTTTTGCTGACAATTATTTTCTGAACGTTCAGCTCGCCGAAACCAACCCATACTTCACGGTTGTTACGTTCACTGATTCTGCATGCAATGGGGTATATTGCACCCCATGCGAGGAGTGATAAATTATCAATTTCTATTCCAATCGAGAATGTGATGAGTTGCGCACTCTTTTCTTTGGGTACATTTTTGATTTTGCTTCCCCTTGATTGTAGGTTCCGAAGCACGACCATAGAAAACGTGTCGCTGACAATCGTTTCTGGCGCCCTGATCCTTGGCTTMGATTCCGAGTCGTTGAAAATTTATTTTAAAATAAAATAGATGCTATGAAAATAATGATATACAATTAACTTTCTCGTCGAGGACAATACGATCATATTATTTCACTTCCCCACGGATCGTCGTCTTCTTTTTCGTCGTCGTCSCCTTKTCCTGGATCCGAATCGTACAATATCGGATCCTTCACGAGATTGTCTCGGTTCTTGGCGTCGTTGTCGGCTTTCGTGCCGTTCTTGGAATCCCCGTCTTTGTAGATCGATTCGTCGTAGTCCATGAACAAGATGTCCCTCACCACCGACGAGTGGCTCAGCTTGTTTAGCTGGCGTTTGACGGAATCGCTGTCGAGGGTGGTGTTCCCCGTTCCGTCCTCGGCACCGGCGTCCCCGTCGCTGCCCCTGCCACCGTACAGCTGGTCTTCTTCCCGCACGTTGAGTCCCTGAGCCAGGTTTCCGACATACGTCCCGTGCCAGCCTCCCGTCGCGGCTTGTTTCACGTCAATGTCCTCCAGGTCAAAGTTCTGTAGGTAGCTAAAGACCAGGGCCCGCTCCGTGGAAGCCCGCTTCTTTTTGGAGAGAACGTACGAAATTCCCGAGCAACCCACCGTAACGAGCCCGATCGTCAGGAACAGGTACACGACGTGGCCTATTCGAATCGAAGTCCGGATGGRATTCGCATCCTCGGGAGTGCTCTCGTCCGAGCCGTTGTCCKTTTCGCTCTCTTTTTCGTCGGTCTGTACCTCTGCGCCTTCCGTGTTGACGGGATTCGAGATTTCGAGGTCCGAGGCCTCGGAGGAGTAGTCRATCCCCGACGTTTCGGTGATTTCCGGAAGATTGCCGTCGGCGTCCACCTCCACGACAAAGATCTCCGAKTCCTTGKCCGGGATGGAGTACAGGTTGCCCTTGGTGTCTCCCATGAGCAGGACTCCTTTTTGTCCCTCGAGGACCGCCAGCCCGCTTCCCCCGTACGCCAATCGATCGTCCATCGACGTGCCCAGTTGCTTTGCCCACACCACCGCTCCGTCGGTGGCATCGAGCCGCATCAAAAAGACGTCGTCGCCCAACAGCGAGGTCGTTCGGCCCACCAGTTCTCCCCCGTCTTCCACGAGGCCGGCGAGGTAGACGGTGTTCGAGTCTGCATCGAAGCCGCAGCCCAGTGCGCGCGAGTCGGTGGTGCTCTCAAAGTCCCGCTGCCACACCGTTTCGAGGGTGGAGGCCCGGAGCTTTGCTACGAAGGGAGTGGCGATGGTGGGCCCCTCGTCGGAAGCCTCCCCGTCGGAATAGGCGTCATCGTCGTCGTCATCATCAACGATGTCGTCGTCGTCGTCAAACACGTTGTCGCCGTTGGCTCTGTCGTCGTCGTCAAAGTCTAAAACGCCAAAGGTTTTGCCGCCATCCAAGAGGTTGCCATCGTCGTCGTCGTCGTCATCGTCGTCTTCTCCAGTGGCGGCATCATCATCGTCAAAAAAGGCGTCGTCGTCGTCGTCGTCATCGTCCTCTCCCACGACGCCATCATCGTCCACAGCATCGTCCTCTCCCACGACGCCATCATCGTCCACAGCATCGTCGTCGTCATCGTCGTCTTCGCCGATGCCGTCGTCGGTTTGGGTTTCGGCTTGCAGCGAGCGCGTTCGATTGCCTTGAGGGACGGGGCGGGCATAGCTCCCCACGACAAAGATCGCGTCGTCCTGGCCGTCCCCGGCTCCCTCGCACACCGCCTCGACATAGGTATCCACCAAGGAATCCCCGGAGGCCTTGCCGCTCCCGTCGTTGGATTCGAAACGAATCCTCCGCGACGAAAGGAGATCGCCCGTGTCGGGATCGAGCTTCGTGACAAAGCCCGCCTTGCGGTTCGTTCCCTCGGGATTCTCGGACTCCGGCTCCCCAAAGGCGGGGCTGGACCCGATGACCGACCCGACCACGTAGAGTGCATGGGTGGGATCGTCGTCGTCGTCGTCGTCGCCGCCGCCGCCCTCCCCCCCGATCCGGTGGGAAAGAATCTGGTTGACCGTGACGCCGGTTCGCCTCACGCTGCTGCCGTTCCGTTTCACGCCAAAGGGYTTTCTCCACTGGATTTGTGCGTCCGAAAACTCCGTCGCCAGCCGGATGGACTCGACGGTCATCGCGAAGTTGTTTCCGTACTTGAGCAGCCCCCCGCCGGGAGTGAGGTTGGGGACCGTGGTGAGTCCCAGGCCGTCGTTCTCGTGGGGGGTACCGAGGGCGTTCCGGTATTCGATCGCCTTGGAGTCGGACGTCATGGACGCCACAAAGACCCGGTTCGTGTGCTTGGGGTCGTTCGTGATCGACCGGGGCACCGTCACGGGGGCCGTTTGGTACATCAGAACGGAGTGGTCGGGGGCRTAGTGGCTGGAGGTCCCGTCCGCGCTGTACTGCAGGGCCACCAGGCCTCCGTAGTGCATGGCCCTCCGGCTTCCCTCTTCGCGCTTGTCGGTCAGGAGGCCCCCCTCTTCCGAAAGGCTGAGCAGCAGGGCGTTTCCGGGCCGGGAGACGTCCCTCCGAAAGGCGATCGTCTGGCAGATCGCCCGCTCGCTAAAGGTCTGCTTGGACAGGAATTTCAGGCCCGTCGCCGGCTCCACCGGGGCGGATTTCGTCTGGGCCCYTTCCGMRGGAGCCTTGACCCGCTTCAGGACGCCCACGAAGCAGGAATGGGGGCCCACCTGGCCCGTGACGTACACGGTTTGGTGCTCGGCGTCGTAGCTCATTCCGCCGGCAAAGGAGACGCCCCCGAAGTGGGTCTGGATGCCGCTGTTCGCGGCTGCCGCTGTCGCCGCGAGCAGCGAGAGCACCACAACCACCACCAGAATCGCTCGCTGCGAATGTATTGTCGCGTTCATTGGTGCCGCCAGTGTCGACTCTAACGTGCTATGCAATGCAATATAGGGGAGGCAGGAGGGGTCCSGTGATCAATGGCGTCGAAGGGTGTTGGGCAATTGGGGTTGAGTGGGATCGAGTGGAGTGGAGTGGAGTAGGGTGTGKGAGACATTCACAGGRTGGAGTCGAATCGAGTCGAGTGGAGTCGAGGCGAGTCAGATGCTTGAAAATGCTCTCGCGCTCGTTTGTGTAGAGATGAGAGAAATTCGTCGGACCAGGTGGCAGTGGAGAGCAATCTTTAAAAGTGTCGATCAATGACATCCAACGAGTCGTACGGCACAGGAATTMGGAGAGCGTGGAACGTATTCGAGATGCCTCACTTTGTGCCTAGCGTTGTTTTGTGCGTGTACCTGGCACTGCAGAACGGAGTTCYGGTGACAATAATTTTTTCTCATCTATTGCCGTTATGTTGCAGCGCACGACGCTCTGGGGTTTATAATCGAAGTCGAAAATTCGGCCAAGAACAGCCTAGATCAATCTTAATGACCTGAAAAAGAGGCGTACAAAATTCTGGTYGATTAATCGAATTGGTTCGCAATCAATGGGGCTATAATATAAAAAAATACTTGGTGTGACATTATTGTCACGACATTTCTGTTCTTCGGTTTCGAATTGACATTATTGCGTAGGAACWATATTTAAWCTTCGAAAAGSTATGATAAACACGATTAACTCGACGAAAAGCACTGGCATGTTCTTCGTAAGAAATAAGCTTTCATGCAGCGTTCATTCCTAGCATTCCACCAAAAACTTGTAATTCCGGCCCAACACTTCGAGGCCCAACACGATCCACTCGACGATGAAACGTGACACTGGGCCTTCCGTCAAGAAACGTGGCCTTGCATTCTTCGTCCTTTTCCAAAAAACAGCTATCACTCGCACAGCACACGCAATCCCACGACCAACGCACGGTAGGGGTTTGGTATGTTGTGTTGTGTTGCGTTGCCCAACAACGAACCGTGCACCGACGACCGATCGATTTCCATTCCCGTCATGCGGAATGACCTCTGGGGCGATCGGACCCGAGAGACGGGGGGCTCAGATTGGTACGCACCATGCTGCGAACCCAAGGAACATGGATCATTTCCGGTRTCATTCTTCTGTGGCCGATTGCACATYATGCCTAATGCAACAAATTCCGATAGTACAGTACCTTYTACTGTACTGAACAATACTTACCTCTCCCAAAACAATAGTTTTATTATCACTCCTTTGYAATATTATCATGATATCTGACTCAGAGAAATGACATGATATTAWWATGAGAATGTCATTTGTTGTATCGTATTATGAATGCTAAACYAKTAACATGAAAAATCGCRGTCATGCTACCATAAATACGCCCATGTCACTGGAACAGATGCTCGAATTCATTACGAAAACCTCCTCCWGCTCCTTCACATTTGTGGTTTGAAAGCTCACAACAATTGTTTTTTCAATCTTCTAGATAATTATTGGCTGCATCCATGGCGTGGTATAAATAACAGTGTTTCACTACTAGTCTCTTCATGCGCCGATACGATTGTACGAAATGAAWAGTGCTTGAATGACAAAAACTGTCTTTTTTTGGATCAAAMCGATCAGGTTASACCGTCCTTATAAAACCGTATGCTTGTTTTRGATTGCAACACTATCGAGAGATCCCGTCTCTATCGCACAGTCGGAGAGCTAAAAATAGTTCACTGCCTTTTTTCGGGCATTTTTYGAAGGATTCTTGAGACTCGATTTGTGTCTCGGCTCCTTCCGGAGGATTCCTTTCTCGGGGACTGTTTCCCTGGTGTCGGGGGCTTCCGTCGTWCGGAGGGCCTTCATGGAGGCTTTGTGGGACTTGGCCCGGTTTTTCTTCCCAAAAGAGACACGCCGCGAACCCTTCGAAGCATTTTCGTCCCCTGCCTTTTCACRCTCTTCCTTTTCTTCCTTTCGTTTCTTCTTGGCGTCCCTGTCCTTCTTTTTGGCGTCCTGCTGTTCGGTCAGGGTGATGACAATCTCTTCCTCTGCAGCGCTTTCCACGGGATCGCTCTTTCGTTTCTTCTTCTTTTTTTTYTTCTTCTTGTCGCCCTCTGCTTCGGMACTCGCGGGCGCGGAGTTGTCTTCCGATTCGGGCTCGGGATCGATCGATTTTCTCTTCTTCTTTTTCTTAGACTCCTTCTTTGGCTTTTCGGCTTCGACCTTTGCCACCGGYTCCTCACCATCGTCTCCCATGTCATCGTCGTCTTCCGAATCCTCTTGGTTCTCTCCCGTCTCCGCTTCGAGGAAGCGGATGCTTTCGTCGATGTTGTTGATGTTAACGTCGTCGACAACTGCGTCTTCTTCTTCTCCTTCGTAGATTTCGTTCCCGTCTTCGTCCGTTGTGATCTCGACGTCCTTTCCGATTTTTTTCAGGCGGCGCATGTATTTTTTGTGCATGTCGTACAGCGACTTGCGGAAWTGGTCCTTCGTAGCGGGGTCGCTTCCGAGGGTGAAGAAGAACTCGGCTATGGTCTTGACGTGGACGTTGCTGAAAATGATGGAGGTACCGTTGTCTTCCTCGTCCTCGGCTTCTTTGAGCGCCCTGTCGCTTATGATGGAATAGTTTTCTAGAAAGTTGTCCATCACCTTTTCCATGACCCTCTCCTGGACGGTATCGTCGTTCCTGCCAGTTTGACAAAGTCCAAAGAATGGTTCCAAGACATCCAGAAACGTAGCTTCGGTCAGTTGAATCTTCGCCTTGGCGTTTACTTTTGCGAGTTCTTCCAAGCACAAATCAATCAAGTGATATCTCAATCCGTTGGGAGGATGTTTCAGTATTTCCTCAAAAAYGGCATCGTTCAACAAAAGCACGATGCCATAATTCCAGGACCGGACAGACATGTATTCGTATATCTCATGCATCATGAGTCGGATCAAGGTGTAAAACTTGTCGATGCGGTATTTGTCCATCGTACCCCAATCCCTACGGATCGTACGGAAAAAGGTCCTGACAAAGATGGATGCCAGATGCGCACCCCGACAGTGGGGAATCTCTTCATCGTTCAACTCCATGATTTCATCTGATCCTTCAGGATCTTCCTCCTCCATAGCTTCGTCCTCGTCCTCTTCCTCTTCTATCTCGCCATTGTCGTCGCTATCCAGTTCCTCTTTGATGGTGTTCTCGATTTCTTCAAGTGTCACCTCGTGATCGTCTTCCTCCTCACCATCGCTGTCGTCTTCGTCGCCTTCTTCCAGTTCTTGCTCTTCGGCCTCAGTCATTTCGAGGTAGGCACGACCGGCGTATTCATCTTCCTCTTCCGTTCCAACAACACACCACAATAATTGAACAAGTTGCTTCGATAGCTCKTCTTGAACGGCTTTCTTATCTGCCATGTACAGGGTGTACCACAAAGCCTTCCACAACTTCAACAAATCGAGCTCAGAAATTCCGCCGCTGGTACTCTCCAAACCATCACCATCCACAACCTCTGAGATATCGGACCGGGCTTTTAGGTACGCTTTGAGTTTTTTCACAGCGGCGTGTCGTTTACGCTGATCCGTTCCGGCCAAGAGTCTCCCAAATTTCACCTCGGGAGACATCAAGTCCAGTTTGGGATCGATGGGCGCCTGCCGTTTTTCGGCTTTCGTTTCGTTCAACCCCGCATCTTTGATGTAGACTTGTTGTCTCTTTTCATTCGACTGGATCTTGGGATGTTGGATCAACCATTTGTTCTTGTCACTATTTTGAAGATCCTTTCTACGCTGGCGTTTTGTTTTCGGCTTTTTGGTTGTAGCGACTTGCTTGTCTTCGCTCTTCGAATCCTTCTGGGCAGCCTCGAAAGTACCCATGATAGACKAAGTTTGACAGAGATTCAGATGTTTCCRGGAGACTTCCCTCGAATTGTCTACTCGTTAACTTGGGGTAAGCCGTTGATAGAAATGCTTCTAGTGGCCAGCTATTTGTCTAATGAACTCAAAGATAGATTTACCTTTCAAAACGTGGATCAAAAACCTTCGAGTTGGTGTATATCGAATTTGAGAGAGCTACTGGAGTTTCGTACTCGTAATCATCGCAGTCGCAATAAAAGATGAGCTGTGACATCAAATAATGAAAAATATCTCGCGATAGAAACCTCAAAATTGGTGGTTCGTTCTCCTTGCCTTGGTCCGTCCGTCTACCGTAAATTCTCAACAGGAAAAGTGAAAAATAACAGCAAGGTACAAGAACTACTACTACTACTACTACTACTACTACTACTACTACTACTACTACTACTACTACTACTACTACTACTACTACTACTACTACTAAAGGTTATTGGGCAGCCTATCAGCATTTTGCTTACGACGACTGTTCTTCTTCTTGTTCTCCAACAACTCAGCATAGTAATTCCTCTCTGTGACGTGGATCATGATGCTGCATGATTGCACCACCTATAAAATTACTAGTGTTACTAGCTAATAGTAATACTGTTTATGTTATTTGTCTTGTTGTATATCCAAACAGCACTTCTACTAGTACTACTAGCTAGTAGTAATTATAGTAATGATGGTGGTGGTGTAAAGTAGAGCTGAAATTGAAAGAAAACCACCTTACTAATGTTCTTCTTGTTACTAAAGTAATAACAACTCCTCCTCCTGATTCTTTGGTTCAATCCTTTCATGGTAAAATATTAGTACTAGTACTACTACTAGTACTACTACGACGACCTAGAAGTACTACTATTTTTCTTCAAAAGCAGGGACAYCCAGAAAGATTGAGCAGGAAAAAGAACATTACCACCAGCACTTCTTCTTGTTGTTTTGTTAATCTTTTTGGGGTGCCAGTGTGGTGTGCTGCTGGTGGTTTTTGGTGGTGTTCTTGTTGTTGTTCTCATTCTTGTTGTTATTTTTGTTTGTGGTGGTTGTTGAAGATTCTGAGAATCTCTACTAATAGCTAGTAGTACTATTACTAGAGATATTTATTTATTGGCTACAGTGCACTACACTGCACTACACTGCACTTCACTAACTTTAGTGCGCGGTAGCCTGTAACTTTGAAGAATTCTTACAGCCCTGTGACGTGGACTTACTGAGGAAACAAAAAGAAACTTGTTTTTAGTGTGGATTTGTACAAACCCTGGTATACCATTTTTTGCAAATAAATTATTACCTTGACCAAAAATAGATTATTCATTTTTAACTTAAACATTCAGTCATTGTTGTGACAACAAGTCATTCTAGTAGCAATAACCTAGTTTTTGCACCGTACTAGTAAGTTTTTTTGGCCGCAGGCAGCAGCCCTGCCGTCCTTAAAAAAAAACAACGGCGGCGGCCGCAACCAATTCTTGTTCAAGCTAGTACTAGTATAAGGACTGTTACCTGAAGGATTACTCCCAGTAGTAGTAATTGCAATACTAGTACTAATACTAATACTTCTAGTACTAGTACTAGTAGTACTAGTAGTAGTTTTTGCAGCTGAAGGAAATATTTTTCAGGTGTTACGGTACGTGCGTGGTCCGTATCAGACTTTTCACGCACACTGCATTTTCTCAACCACCGTTTTGAAGRAGAGATTCTCGGCTTCGAAATCCAAAACTGATCGAMACATTTTGGATCGGAAACGTGCATGCGTCCGCTGGAAAGAACAAAGAATCCAACGAACACAAATCGTTTGAAACGAAACCATCCAAAGAACGACACAGTTGAATYGATTCAACATCTTAGAAATGGCRGAGGAAAGTAGCATTCTTGCCGAGGCTTCATCGAAGAAGAAGGCGAARAAAGAWAAGAAGAAGGAAGACAAGAAAAAGAGCAAGAAGCGAAAGAAATTGGACGACGGCGACGGCAGTGATCATGGCGACGAACCAATCGTCGACCARRGTTCCGAGGACGTCTCCAATGATACCAATAAGTTAGACGAAGGTGAAAAAGTWAAGGATAAAAAACCAAAAAAGAAAAAGATGAAAGAAGCCAAATCTCGGTTGAAATCGAAAAAGGAAGAGAAGGCGGAGTTGATGAAAAAGGTTCCTCTAACGGACGACGATGGGATTGCGTACACCAAGTTCCAGATCCGCCAGATGTTGAAACGCGTCAAAAAGGGCCTRCCACCTGTTGCAACGGCCAAAGAACAGGAAGAAAAACGCCAAAATGAAGCTCGGCTCCGTCGCGAGGAACAAGCAGAACTAGCGGGTCTAGCAAGYGAAAGAAACATGCAAGATAGCGACGAAGAAAGTGCCAGCGATAACGGTGACGACGACGGCAGCGGCGATGACAACGATGATAATGATAACAATACGGCTGGAGATGGTGACAATGATGTATCCAATGATGCTGTCTGTGCCCCAGCTYCTGCTGTCAACAGTTCTTCCAAGGAGGATGGAGCCCCAACGAAAAAGGCAAAACGGAACAAAGTCGTCCCAGCCGATTACGTTTGCCAAGCCTGTAAAAACCGCCATCAACCRGCACATTGGATCTATGACTGCCCCGACAAGATCACCGTCCGCGGTACCAACAAAAAACGAAAAAAGGATCGAGGGATCAACGACCCAGATTCCAGAAAAGTCTTTGTCTCGGGATTGCCATTCGAAGCCAAAGTCAAAGCAGTCGAGGACTTTTTCTCGGTCACCAAAAACTGTGGGACCGTTGCAGCTGTGAGGCTCATAAAGTTCGAAGATACAGGAAGGTGCAACGGGCAAGCATACATATCATTCGATACCGATGCGGGAGCACAGCGGGCGATTTTATTGTCGGGAACAACTATTGATGCCGAATTGTTATCGTCTTCAGACAGCAAGAAGAAGAAAAAAGATGACGGAGCTCCCACAAAACGAAAGGAACTGAAACTCAAAGTATCGAAAGTGTTGAACAGAAGAAAGACAAAACGTGGTTAAGAGTCAGACKGGTACAATTTACTTAATTGCGTGATGCAACTATCGACCATCACTATCTCATGTGCAACGAACCACACATATTTTTGTTAGAATTAGSTAGATAAAGGAAACACTCTRTCATTGTTTCATGGTAGTCCATGCTTTTCTATCGATTCTATAGTCTGAAGTTCTAATCTTGCAGTTCTGGGAGATAGAAACGAGAYTACGTGAATTACACAAACTACGAACTGCAGTACTCCGTTGTCACAATTTCTGGACCAATCAAGGAATAAGTGTTAATTGAATATTTGCTTTCGCCGGTCTCGGGGCTTGTGCGCTGCGCGACGAGTTGTARAGCTTTCTGTCGGCGAAACCACGCACCATTCTTAGTTTGGATACGGTGCTCMGTCGTTTCCTTCTACATTCTTTGCAGCAGAAGCAYGTGTGCGACTTCCACATTGCCCTCCACATAGAAGACGATACTAACGAGGAGTCGAAATACATCTTTACACGCAAATGATCCAATGCGCATACTGGCTGAGCGGTTCTGCATGTGATATCTTGTGYTACATACGAGTACTTCTTGGGATTTTTGTTCCAGATGTCTTGCATCGTGGCTTCCATATTRAATCAGAARCGCTCGATCAATTCCAGTCAGCCGCCGCGGCAAGTTTATTATTAATTATCATGTCAAAAATRTGTGTTGTTCTTGCCCCTGCACAACAATGACTGTAATTGATGGGGCGAATGAAACAAGATACAATCGTGCGTTGAATCTTCCTAGTAGTACAGTAGAGAAAGCAAATGTTTATAATGTATATTATATTACACTAAGCACTGTGATCTCTCCAGTCGAATTTGGGCTGTAGCTTTTTCGTAGATGATTGGCCGTCGGTTATGATTTCTACCAACTTATTCTTGATCTTATCCTTGATGGCTGGGTCTCTCGTGTTCAGCCACAATTCCAACTTGTACATGGGATAGGCTCTAGATTTATCTACTACCCGAACKCCATTCACATATTGCTCAATACTCTCTCCTCCTTCCGGTGCGACAGCGTCGTTGATCGTCTCTCCAACGCAACTCATCACGAGATTTTGCCAATACAAATCCAGCACCTCCGATGCCAGGCACTGCCGACAAAACCATTCTCCACCCGTTACATTTTGAGGATCACCCCATTCAGGTTCGATTCCCTGCTTGAAAAATGAGTACTCCTCGATCGTTTTCGACTCCGGTCCTACCGTCTTGCGACATTCCCCGTCAAAGAATACTTGAGAGGGTTTCGGCAAGTGTTGAAAATACCTCCAAAAGTCCTCCACCGTACTAATTTTACAAAGCTGTATCATGTTTTCTTTCCACTTGTCGGGGTCTTTCGGCCCCTGATTGGCCTTGTGTTCCCACATTACCCATTCTGTGAGGTTGAGTTTGTTGCAGCAGATTTAGTTGTGTCAGATTGCAGTAGATGGTTTATTCAAAGAGCAGAGGGAACGAAAATCGCAACGCTGGTGAAGAACACAAAGAAAAGCATTTTCAAAACAAACTTGGCGCAGAAAAGGACAACAAATAGTTCCCTCTGTGCGAAAGATCACATGCCGTATGGTGCGACACATCGTGCTGTGATCTCCATGGAATTAACTACACCGCCTTCGAATCGTCACCATACGACTCAATTGATATATCCGGCACATGGCCTTCGTCCCATGTTTTMCCGCGAAACGAGAACCGAAGCTTCTCCCCCGTCGACGTGCCCTTGTGCAAGCAATATWAATTGACTTACCATTTTGGAGTGGGTGTGTCTCTTCCGCCATATTGGAATATAACCTTCCGTGTTATTCCAACTCAAGCGGTGTGCAGAGAAGAGAGAGAGACTGCAAGAGATACCTGAAGAGGGGACAGGGCGGGACGGGAGTCCATGGTGGGCCACCCAGCAGTGCTTTCTCTCCCTCCTCGTTAATTCATCGGTAGTACGAGTACGAGTACGAGCACTAGTACTACTGGTAACTGCTTTTAGCGGTAAGAGTACTTTACTCGTACTCGTATCCGGTACGGTACAGCGAAATGCTGCGCCATTCATTAAAAGGTGGGACGGACGGACGAAMAGTGCGTCATTCACGATTTATCGTGACTCATCCAATGTCCTAAGAATAAAGACTATATCAGTACTTGTGTCTTGATGACGTTGTTCAAATTTGAATTTCGATCACCTCTTCTAGGATACCTATGAACACTGGAACGTACTTGAGTGGATTTTCTCGTGTCACGTGAATCGATCGCAGTTTTTTATCACTGCACATTCAAATTTTGGAAATTTGGCGCTTTTGGTACCATACATACTTCCATCACAATTCGATTGTGAGCCGAACCCTTTTTCTGGAAAGGATTCAACTTCTGAACTGGAGGCTAAACGACATACAGTACATGGCAAATCATCGTTGCATCTAGAAAGGATAGGATTGCCAGTGGTTTGCTTTGTTCTTCTTCTGCCGGATAATCGCATTCGATTGAGGATTGATTCGATCGAATCCAAAACCGAATCTTCGCATCGAATACGGCATAACGAGAATCTGATACTGAATCTTCGCAACGACTGAACCGAGAACWCCAATCATGTCGAAATACACAAGTGGTAACGAATGTACACCTCCTCGAGGTTTGGAGATTGCGACGTTCGATGCATTGGAGCTCGCAGAACAGGACAGGTCTCGCACCACAAGAAGCATCAGGAGACGACGGCAACACGGACTTCACTCGTGTCGCTCGTTCAAATTTGTTGCTTTTCTGTTATTGCTCGCTCTACAATCTTCGTGCTACTRTGTATCAGTTTTTCAGCAAGTTGCTGCAAGTGAAACAGCCGACGAAGGAGCGTCYGCAGAAAACGAAGATCTAGCTGACCGCCAGGGATGGTCGACGTCGGACGCGATCGAGGACAGTATGTTCGATCCACTAACGGCCGATCCTTCGTGCAGTGCAACGGGGGACAATGATTGCCATGCACCACCCCAATCAACAATTGAAGTGGAAGAGATAGAAAAGTTGGACCCGACTTGTTTCAAGGGCGCCGGTGACGCTGACTTGGAAGACGACGGGAAGCAACAACAAAAGCAGCAGCAATGCGCGGCAACCGGCGGCAAAACGAAAACGAAACGTGACAAGCACTGGGGRGACAACCCAAAGACAATCGCGATGCGCGACCATTTGCGGGAACAATCGAAGCATTGGATCAACGATTCGCGTCCACCAATCTTTTTGGTACCGGGCCTGGCGTCCACTCGGTTGGTAGCGTGGAAGTTCAAGAAATGTGCGGGTGCCTTGTCGTCGGATATCAAAGTACAAGACAATGTTTGGCTCAACATCAATCTCGTGTTACGGATGGGGACAACGATTGACATCGACTGTTTGAAACAGTGTCTCAGCCTGGGGTTGAACCAGACCGATACCGATGATTGGGATTCGGGATGCAAGCTCCGCGCCGATGAGGGATTGGATTCGATCGCATCTCTGGCTCCCGGTGGKATYGGTGCCGATCTGTTGGTTGGAGGTACAAACACGGTTTATGCTTGGCTCATTCAATGGTTGGCAGACAACCTGGGATACGATGTAACAAACATGATCGGGTTTCCATACGACTGGAGACTGACCCCATCTGTTATGGAAAAACGAGATGGCTTCCTCAGCATGATGAGGAAACGAATCGAAGGCGCTGTGGCCGCCAGCAAAAAGCCAGGAATCCTGGTCGCTCATTCAATGTAAGTTTGTGTCCTGCTCATCGTAGAGATCTTGTCTTTGAGTCGTTCCCTTGAACTTGGATAGTCGACTTGGATGCAATKGAATGAACGCAAAAGTGCCAGAAACTTTTTATCTCACAGATCATCTACCTGATGCGGAATTTTTGCAATGGACGACAAGGGGAAATTTGATTTTTCGCTATTTCATCGAATGGCTGAGAATTGAATTGAGAGAAGAAGCTTTCGACGGGTACGTGAAACGGGCGAAACGCAAAGCGCAGAGTATGAAAAAACAACAGCAGCATCAACAGAACTACAAAAAACACCAAGAGCAACTCGAACAAAAAAAGGTAAAGCAAAAAATTGCTTCGAAACAGGAGCAAAAAATTGYAGAAAACGATAGTTGGATGCCTGGTTGGGTGACATCTACCTTGGAGGATGTTAGTGCCGAAGTCGATGAATGGTACGATTGGTTGACAAACGATGCATCGGATGGACCCGAAAGCGGCACAAACAAACAAACAAACGAACCCGAGGAAGAAGAGGAAGAGGAGATTGACTACCGACAAACTCAGCTATGGGAGCTAGCGAAACTTGAGGGGGACGAAAAATGGATCGAATGGCTACAGACACATGTCTGGACCGTGAGTTTGCKTCTTGGTGTATGATCATCTTCAATATTTTMAAAATCTGTCTAACGCAATTTTTTTCCTCATCTATTTCTCTTGTTTCAGTACGTTGGATTGAGTGCRCCTATGCTAGGAGGGATAAATCCGCTTCGAGCTGTCATTAGCGGAGAGAACATGGGGTACGTAGCAACGGTGYCTTTTGCGTTGATACAAGTTACAAGCAAGTTTTCCAATGTTCATTCTAACATTTTTCTAATTAGATTGCCATTGAACGATGATATTGCGAGAGAAATGGAACTCAGTAAGTGATGTTGTTCATCGTAGCGGTAATTGACGCCATACAATATCGATCTGATACCTCGACAACTGTTCTGACGTTTATCTTCTTGCTATCGTACCAGCCTTTGGATCCACACACACACTGAATCCTGTGTCAACTGATACGGGCTTTTGTGACGAACGCAACGTTGACGATTGGGCCGAAGATCCCAGAGGTAACTCCKACGAACATGAATCAACCMTGGCCTGCTTGGTGAGTGTGACAACTAACGTGAATACCATTAGTGKGTTTAGCCGAGAATCGAAAGACGGTGCTAAAAGTTTTTTCCACGCTTTTTTACCCGCTGCATCTTYGTATAGGACGATATTGCGACTGATATCGAGTACAGCTCAGGAGATCGTGACCCTTGGAAAGACTTCCCGGCTCTGAAAGCCTTGATGCGTGATCGTATTGACTGGACTACGGGGAAGCCAATGATAGACATAGAAATCTCTCATTGCAACAATACKAACGCAAATTCCTGTGAAGCTACCGGAGAATTTATTAAAATCGGTCCGAAGAATGTAGAAGATGGGAGTATCTTTCAAATCTTCGATGATCTTTGGAAAGAAGAAGGAAAACCACTCATTGTCAAGAAAGAGCAATTGGAAGATTCCTTCGTAAATTCGAAGGTTCGAAACATCTTGAACCACACATGGGAGTAAGTGATATTGAMCTACAATTGGAATATCGACTGAATTCTATTTTGCTGGTATTTTTCGGTTCACGAACTAACAATTACTTTCYACATGACAGTCGCCCGCTTATCAAGCACGTTATAATGGGGTACGGGGTAGATATACCAACAGAAGTAGGATACATATATTCCAAGAAGTACAATGTCAAACACTCTGACGGCGTAACAAGCGTTTCCGATCGCAACGAAACAGGACCGTTGCCCTCCCTGAAGACAGCACTGTGGGAAAACCCGCGAGGCGTCATGACGACAGAACTGATTGACTCCCCTCGCGGTGGCATTGGTGAGTACTTCATAAAAAAGAAACCAAAACGAGAACCACTTGAAGTCACCGTGCCGGAGGCTCGTTTAGAACACTGCGGCGATGGCTCGGTGCCTTACCTCTCGCTTAGCTGGGCGCAAACATGGTTGCTTCATGCTGCGAGAGCTCGGCGCTTTACTGAAGACAAATACCAAATGAGTGGCGAAACAAAGAATGCTTTGGATCACATTGCAATCAGTCATAGACCCCAGGGAGAAAGCGAGTGGATAGAAGGTCCTCCGCCAGAATCATTGACAATCCTTGGTGGTGATGAACAGAAAGCAGACAGTGATACGGGTATTAGTCACCCGCATGGCACACGATACAAACCCTTGATGAAGAGATATCACAACATTGGAGTCTCCCGGAAGACAGGGATTGAATACACYACATCTGTCATTGAAGCGATAGGTATTGAACACAAGGAGACAACAAGGTAAGACAAATACTTTCACCTGTGGGAATAGATTCGGTGGGGTTGAATGGCAAAACATCTCCTTACAAAAACAATTTGCATTCTTCGACATTTCCAGGAACTTCGATATTCTTGCGGCAGTCTTTACCGAGGTGTTAGATTACATGCACGACGACTTAGGCTTGATTCCCGACAATAATAGCGGAGCAGTCGATGCAGATTCAGGCGTCAATGAAACAGAATAAATTTCGACTCCGCTCTCCACACTTGATACAGATAACTATGTGACTCGAATCTAAAATCTTTTCGTATCACTTGCGACAGTATTAGTAGTTTGCCATCTATTATTTCTTTTACTACTACTAGTTGCTTCATGTCCCAGTTCCAGGTTGTTGTAGGTGGATAGTATGGAACATWGATGGAACTGCATGTTCCTAGCTGCGAATCGTTGATCTCGTCGTCTCCTTTCCATCAAAAGTTGAGTTTCTTTCACGTTTTCTTTGGCTCTGGCTGCATGGTTGGTTTAGTATATACTTGTTCCCATCCATCGAGTTCCAGACGCATATGCACATTCATCACAATTCTCAATTTTGTTCTTTAAAACGTTTACAACWRTTTCAATGCTTCCAAATTCTTGGATTCGGATTCGATTGCCTTTTGTTTGCCGGCGAGTTCCTTTGCTTCCCTYKCCTTCATTGACTTGAGTTTGCTCGCTTCMTTTTCAAGTTTCTTGAGCTTGYTTTGTTGTTCCTTGAGTTGCTTCTTGACCTTTTTCTGGTATTTGTTGTAGGTCTTCTCTGCCTTCTTGAYGGATTTYTCTGCCTTCTTTAGAGCCTTCTTGGACTCKTCGATACCCTTGGCAGAAGATTTGACTTCCTGAGAAGTGGCACTGGCAGCCTTGGAGGCATCGGAGTAGATCTTTTCCTTGCCCTTCAAGACTTCCTTCAGACCAGCTGTCAGTTCGCAATACAAAAGAGGTATACAAAAAGACATTCGCAGAATGAGGTGAGATGAAACATGAAAGAAATCAGAATGGATGTGCCGGCAACGTAGAGAACGCAGGGTCACTGCATCACAATCGAGACACAGTTCAGATCATTGAATCAATCTCGCACCACGCAGAGATATATTCGTCTGAAGACAYCTTCTCTGAACGCCACTCTCCCAAAAATTGTCCATGATTGTCCAACAACCACGCACAAACGCACAACTCTACGTTCTGGAAACTCTCGAATACCGACGACATTTAAGTTGTGTTGCGATTTGTATTTGTCGTACCTGCATCTGCTGTCAATTCTTTCACGGCAGAAGCTGGCATCTTTTGGCTCTTGGCAGCGGCCAATTTATCGGCAGTCGCTTGGTAGGCCTTCTTGGCGGATGCAAGGTTCTTGGTTGCCGAATCCAAGGCGCTGGAGGCCTTCTTGTCAGCACTCTTGGCATCGGAATTCAATTTTTCGTAGGCCTTAAGAGTCTTKTTGCACAAATCAATATTGTCCTKGGCCTTTTTGTACTCCTTTTCTTCCTTAGAAAGCTTCTTGGCCTCTTGCTTAACGGTTTTCGAGGCAGCGTGGGCAGGTTCCACGAATCCGGGAAGAGCCGTTGTTGTCACTCCGACTGTCGAGAACGCAAAGACGGATGCGGCAACGAAAGATGCAGCAGCCTTGGCGTCGATTTTGGGGAGGAAATTATTGTTGCTTTCTTCTGCATTGAGTGCCGTGGAGTGGGCGCTCTTGTGAATGCTCGACGGAGCGAAGGCTTCCGTCGTGGCCAAGGCCATCATAAGTCCTGCGGCGATAGACAACTTCATCTTTTTGGTTGTTATTGATAATAAATAATGTACTATGCTTATTTACGTCTATGATGCAGCAATACAGTAGATGCTAATAGATTCGAGTGATGTTTGATTGCCTAAAGGTGTTTTTCTAGGAAGTCTTTCATGAGAAGCCACCGATGGACTGACTAAGGCGTGTGTGTTGGGCGTTGGACGGTTTCATGCGCTTCGCAGCTATTGGTTGAGACCACCACGCACGAAAAGCATTCGGRAAAGATACTATTTTTTCATGCAACGAGCCCATTCGGGGGATTCAGAAAACCAGATTCAAATTKGTTTGATGGGTCCCTCATCCCTCATAGCGTTCCTACGTCTGCAGTAACTACCTACGTATGATTCAAACATTCTGCGACGAATCGAGTTAGTCCTAAAAGTCGCATATCACCGAAATCGAAAAGTCGAAGGGATGTACTGAAATAGTTCTGACTGGAATTACTTTTCGRGTGAAATTCATCTTCGACATGTATGCGAAAGACTSTCATCGCGAAAGCATGAGTAATCACAATCTTTCATTCCATCTACTATCTCACGGTCGATGGTTTTTAAAAATTGATTTCAGAGAGACCGGATTCAGCAGAACAGTGCAGCACGAACTCAGTGACAGGGGCAATTCAAGTGTGCAAAGAATCGTCGTTGAGCAAACTATACAGTAAAGAAAATAGAGGGAGGAACAGAATCGGCGCCCGCGCGATGCTTCGCTTGTTGTCACACCCGCAATACGCACCCTGGATCGGCTTGTTGTTGAGGTTGTTCTTGGCCTGGTTCCTTCCGTGGTTGTTGGACGATGGCCGCTGGTTGCCTGGTGTGAGCTAYACCGACATTGATTTCCTCGTGTTTACGGACGCCGCCGAGTACTTAAAACGCGGGTTGTCTCCCTACGATCGGCATACATATCGGTATACGCCATTTCTTGCAGAGCTACTGTCGAGATTGCCGCACAAAGAATGCGGAAGATATTTRTTTTGCGTTGCGGACGCCCTTTGCGGGTATATAATCCTGAACGAACGCCGGGCTCGACGAAGTTTGGGACGAACCGAGAAGGAACAAACCGATAATTCTACCGGCAACAAGGTCCATGGTTCGGCGTCGTCGTGGYGGTCAGTGGAGTTGGTGGATGCTTGTTTATGGCTCTACAATCCACTCGCGATCAATATTTGCACGAGAGGTTCATCGGAATCGCTCATGGTTTTGTTACCGGTCCTGTTGACGTTTTGGATCGCTACCGGGGGGGAACGAAGTAAAAATGCGGACGGTWTCGCAACATACTCTCGGATACTTTTTGCAGGAATTTKCCAYGGCGTCGCTGTCCATTCCAAACTCTACCCCATTATCTATTCGCTATCGTACATGGCGTATTTTGCAACGCCCCCGAGAAGCAACTCGGGGGGCATCGCTGCTGGCACTTTGCCGAAGACCTCTGTCTTTCCCTGGAAGAATCCGGTCAAATTGATGCGACTGGCAAAACTTTGGATTGGTCGGTTGCTCTTTTCACCAMAGCCATTGTTGTTTTTGGTGAGCTTTTTCCTTACCTTTGGTTTCCTGACATGGCTGGCGGTCTTCATCTACGGGGAAATCGCAATGCAAGAAGGTCTTTTATACCACTTCTCCAGAGTGGACCACAGACACAATTATTCCATGTACTGGTATTGGATTTACCTTGCCCGAGCAAGAACAGCTGATGCTGCGTTGACTCTAGCTAACACGGCAGGTAATWGTTCTGCTAATGCTGTCRCTGCGGCATCCTCCAACATGTTTTCCCTTGCAACCATGGGTCGATTACTGCTATTGCCACAAGTGTTYTTGTTGGCCTATAGCAGTCTGGGAATAGCACCGTACAACTGTCAATTGGGATTGACACTATTTTTGCAGACCTATCTCTTTGTTACTCACAACAAGGTCATCACAGCACAATACTTCACTTGGTATCTGTGCTTACTGCCATTGTGCAGAAATGCAAACGGCGATCTTATGAAATCTCGGAGAGTCGTAAAAGCATCAATCKTACTGGGGATTTCGATTGTGCTTTGGTTGGGTTCGGCATACTGCTTAGAAATGCAGGGATTTGCTTTYCATCGCATCGTGTGGTTCGCCTCGGTCGTATACTTCTTCGCCAACGTAAATCTAATGGGAGCATTGTTGCAATGCATGGGAGCGAGCAATAGAGTAGGCATGCGTACGACTGATGTTGATTCAAAAAAGGACTGAGAAAGGACAAACGTTTCTCTTCGAACTAATAGCACATAAGGCTAAAATAAAATTTCTTGCGACAAAAAAGTCAGAACAAATTAACCCTGTWATTTTTGACTCTCCTACTGCAATCTAGTACGCTAACGGAAAGTGTCACGGTGAAAAAGGAAATGAATGCAAAATAATATGAACTGTGTTTCGTGGTTGGACTTCGTGTTAAKSTGCGTTAAAYGATTTCAGTTACTCTTCTTCGTCGCCAGTCGCAGCGACTGGTACGCCAGCTTCTTCTTCCTCATCGGCTCCTTCTAATAAAGCATCCTCCCTAGATTGGTCAATAGCAGCTTGATCAATATCGTAAGCACTATCGTTTTCATTACCTGCGCCCCATGATGCCTTTTGTTTGGCGGTGAATTCATCATATTGAGCAATAATTTCAGGTCCCACAGATCGACGAGCCTTGCTCATAGATGCTTCAAAATGAGCTTTTGTGATAGCACCAACGGGATCTGGGAGTGCATCAGCTTCTTCTTGAGTCATTTCACCCGCTTCAACTCGTTTTTGGCGTTCGATATCGGCAGTAATACAGTCACGAATGGCATTTTTCGCTGCTCGCTGACAGATTTCTGTAATATCAGCACCCGAAAATCCTTCTGTAGCTCCCGCCAGTTGTTCGAGGCTGATGTCATCGGCAATGGGGGACTTTCGGAGATTAGCCTTAAAGATTGAAACTCGGGATTCAAAATCTGGAAGTGGAATGTAAATCAATTGATCAAGACGTCCGGGACGCATGATACCRGGATCAAGAATATCGGGWCGGTTTGTTGCTCCAATAATGAAGAGAGTCTTTCCAGATCCCATACCATCAATCTCAGATAAAATTTGGTTAATGACACGATCACTAGTATCGGAGCCTCCAGATCCACCGGAACCACGCGCTCTGGCAATGGAATCCATCTCGTCGAAGAAYAAGATGCAAGGACTTGCTGCACGGGCCTTATCGAACAAGTTACGAACGTTGGCTTCGGATCCACCGAACCAGGCATTCAGAAGCTCAGGTCCCTTCACACTGATAAAGTTTGCACCACACTCGTTGGCGATTGCTTTAGCCATCAACGTCTTACCGCAACCTGGAGGACCGTAAAACAAGACACCACGAGACGCTTGCATACCAAATCGTTCAAACAAGTGACGATGCTCGATAGGATACCGGACCATTTCCTGTAATTCACGCTTGGTCTGTTCCAATCCACCAATATCTGCCCACTTCGTGTCGGGAACCTCCACTTTGTTGTCTCTCAGAGTGCTGGGGTCGCACTGACTCAGAGCGTGCGTRAAATGCTCATTCGTGACCTTGAGGATATCTAGATYTTCTTCGGGAATTGGTTCTTCGCTATCAATATCAAGGTTCTGAATATTTGATCGAATGCATTGAAGAGCAGCCTCGAGGGTAAGCTGTTGAAGATCAGCTCCAACAAATCCGTGTGTGTCACGGGCGATCTGGAACAAGTCGACATCGACATCAAGTTGCATATCCTTGGTTTTGATCTTGAGGATTTCGTGTCTACCATCCTCGTCTGGCATGGCGATTTCCAACTCACGATCGAAGCGACCAGGTCGTCGAAGAGCAGATTCAATAACATTGGGTCTGTTGGTAGCTCCAATTACCATAACATTTGAGTTCGTCTTCAACGAGTCCATCAAAGTCAATAGTTGCGAAACAACGCGCTTTTCGGTCTCCCCTTGCGCTTCATCACGCTTGGGTGCAATCGAGTCRAGCTCGTCCATGAAAATAATAGCAGGGGCCTTTTCAGCGGCTTCTTCGAATGCTTGACGCAAATTCGCCTCTGATTCTCCACCCTTGCGTGCCATGATTTCAGGACCATTGATAACGACGACATGCGCTCCCGTTTCCTCAACCAAAGCGTTTGCCAGCAATGTTTTTCCGCAACCGGGTGGACCATGCAACAAAACACCCTTGGGTGTGGGTACGCCAGCTGTTGTCCAAAGTTCAGGAAACCGCAGAGGCATCTCAATCAATTCTCGCATTAGTGTCGTTGCCTTCTCAAGTCCACCAACAGAGTCGTATCCGGCTCCAACGAGTGGGCGAGGAGCGCTACCTCCAACAACTGTAACAGTCTCTCCGTTTAATTCTCCAGCTCTGACTTCCTCTTCTTCGGTGCCTTCCTCTGACGCTTCATCACTRGCACCTTCGATCATTAAATTTGAGACAACAAATTCTAATTTTCGTCCATCTTCGTCGTTCAGTACMAGAACCTGTCCCTGTTTCAAAAGTCCTCCAGATTCTTCGAGGTATGGAGCGATAAATCTTGATTCGATGTCGTCATCGGAGATGGAATCACCTCCCTCAACAGCCTCTAATGAGGCAAGAGAATCTTCGATGGGAGAAAGCGTTACAGACTCAACAATAGGAGCGGAAGCAGTACCAACTAGAACCAAATCTCCACTACGGTTTCCTTCATCAGAAGAGCTWTCGTCATCAAGGGGAACAATCTTGACTTTGTCTCCCTTACGAAGCATAAGATTCTTGGCAAGATTTTCGGAAACTGTGCAGATTGACGACGATACTTTCTTCTTTTTCTGCACTAAGACTCGTCCGTACGTTGCWGTTCGTCGTCTTCCAATGACAGCTACAACTTCTCCATTCGACACGCCAAGTTCTTTTGCTTTTTTGGCAGACAACGAGATGGCGGAGTCTGTGATCGCAGTTGGCTGCATAAAKGGAATAAAGCATACATTCGTCAATACGACACACGATTGTAAGTTACGGCGCTATTTTCTAGGCCAAAACGAAATGCAACACGTTCAAGAATTCAGCTGTAACGGTGCACATATCTCCTTTTCTGGAGCACAAAACATGAATCACTTACCTGATCCGTTGCAATGAGTTGAACTTCCAGGAGACCAGGAAGATAAAGGACTTCGGTCTCGGCCTCCTCGTCTTCTTCCGAGTCGTCACTCYCTGCTTCAGCTCCTCCTCGAGGGATGTTGTCTATTATAGATTGGGAAATTGACTTGTGTGATGAAGTGATTTCAGTCAAAGCGAAAGAACTGGACGCAGTTCTTGGAACAAAAGCAGGAGATGATCTAGCTTCGACGCCTTCTTCGTATCTTCCGCCCATTAGAGCCGCCAAAAGGACGACTCCAACAGGTGTTGCCAWTGGTCTGAATAGCATTCTTTAATTTGCGATTGCTCCCTTCGGATACGAAATAGAAATAGCGTTTATCGTGGGAGCTAGATTGATGATCAATWAATGGSTCGACGCAACGAATGAAACGACGGGATCCAATTTTGCTAATAGAGGTCAAWCCATCTAACGAAAGAGATGTTGAAGGCTCCGACGTTGATGGAAAGAGCTCGATGTTTGGGGTTTTGCCATAAAAGTACGTAACCCGCTTGATGTGTGGAGGCTGAGACTAAAAATAATCCCAAACAACACGTGGATCATGAAATAGTTCCAGCTGGAATTTTTGATTATGTGAATCTCGCGCACGAGACAAGAAAATTGCGCGCCATTTCACACTGACTCGAACGAGTCAACTATTTATTTATAGATCCATCAGTACGAAGTACTTGGTACGGTACCGTACGTACTACTGTACTGTACCTCTTCATTTTTTTGAGACGATCTCGACATCGCAACCGAACCTTTTTTCCAGATCGYAAGAAAAAAATGTCGATGATATCTTTCCGAAGAAAACAAGAGTACGAGTACACTGTGGTGCTGCCTGTAATTTTAGAAGGATGTTTATTGTAGGTGATAAACATAGTCTTTCTGATCGCCAATCGTTACTCTGTTCTCTTTTCGCATTTGTGGATGCCTGATATTTAACAAGAAAAGTAGCCTTGAAGCGATCAGCAGAAGAGGATCGTCGACTATGCCAAGCGAATTCCGAGGGTTTGTCAAAGTTCGAATTTTTTTAATGCTCCACGCATTTACTGCATTTAATCCGAGCCGAACAAGCTTGCGCCTGGCGTCGTCAATGACGATCCAAYCTCCAACGAGAATCCTGCCGTATATTGCTCCGAGCTTCGCCCGACATTTCAAAAATCCACCGAAGTACCGTCTCCAACTTGCGAACCTACCAACTCYTTTGCACGATGTATTGCTCCCAAATTCTTGTGGGCGTCTTGCTGATAGTGTCCTCCAACCGCTTCGTGATCTGAACATAGAACTTCTGGTAAAGAGAGATGATATGACAGCAGGAGTTGAACTTGGAGGAAACAAGGTTCGAAAACTTGAATTTTTGCTTGCTGATGCGCTTGATGGAGGGTATGATTCTGTCATCACTATTGGAGGAGAACAGAGCAATCACTGCCGTGCCACGGTACGTACCTTTAGATGATTGCTATTTCTGGGTGTGGTCCGAAATAGAACTTTTCAAAASGAATTGACGGTTTTATTTGGTTTCTTTTATCCTAGGCTACCGCATGCCGTATGGTTGGACTTGAGTCTCATCTGATCCTGCGAACAAAGAGAGCAAATGAAGTAGAGAAGAACAATGAAGAAGACTCCTTTGGATACGTTGGAAATATTCTCTTCGATCGAATGGCGGGAGCATCGATACACACATGTACACCGGGTGAGTATGGACGTACAGGAAGCAATGGACTCATTGATTTATTGTGCAACGACCTTGAGTCTCGCGGCGGAGAAGAAAGCAAACAAACGAAGGTATACAAAATACCTGTTGGAGGATCGAATGGGTTGGGCACTTGGGGATACATTGAAGCTGTAGACGAATTCGTGAATCAATTGGACAACGAAAAAGTGGATCATGTCGTATTTGCTTGTGGAAGTGGAGGAACTGCTGCTGGCATTGGTCTTGGTTTGTCGCTGGCCTACCTAGAAAAGAAAAACGTTGAAAGCACCCCAAAAATACACGCTGTCGGCGTCTGTGACTACCCTGATTATTTTTACGGTACAATCACTGATATCGCAAACGAGATGGGATTAGAARTGTCATCGATTTTTCCAGGATCCCAAACGGGAGCTACAAACGATGCATCAATAGAAGCATTTGTTCGCGACCATGTAACTGTCCATCAAGGAAAGGGCCTTGGATATGCATCAAGTACTTCGGAAGAACTTGACTTTATAGTCAACTTCGCTTTAGAGACGGGGATTTCACTAGATCCCGTCTATTCCGGCAAAGCGCTGTTTCAATTCATCAATGAAGTAAAAGAGAATCCGGAAGCGTATAGGAATAGCCGCGTTGTGTTTTGGCACACGGGTGGTGCACTTGGAAACTATGAAAAGGTAGAAGCACTAAGTTCCAAACTAAGATTGRTATCAACCGTGGAAAGAATGGATGTTTACGGTAAGAAAAAAGATAAATAATTGGTGCCCCACTGCGCTTTGCTTCAACAAGATTATCTACTATCGGTAGATGGGTTCTGCTGGGATGTTATTGATCACAAAAATATAAACCTGGCAACGCTTATCCAAATAAAACAAAGCAGGTTCGAATAATTATGCTGACTAGATTCATCAGTGCGATAAAYGTGCTACGCGTGTGTGAATCGGTAGAAAAATCGAACAAGATAACCTGCGAATAATTAAACTCGTCATCGGCCCCTCTACGCTTTGARGTGCTTCGGACCTTTCATCGCCTGCTCTTCTTCTTGCCCTTCGATGGTTTCCCGCTGGATCCGTACAGTGCTGCCTGGAGATGGTTTTTGGCCTTGGGTTTTTTGCCCATCTTGAGCCGCCTTCCGGCACCGTCGGAAATATTCTCACCCATTGGATCTCGTCGTCGTTTTCCGTTTGCATACCTACTTCCGGTATCCTCGGCACTCTTGCGACCGCCCTGGTCTCCTCTCAGGTAGGCATCATAAGCCTCTTCCCTGTGACGATCGTCGTCGCTGTTCACAGCATCGTCCCTCCCGAAAGCTTCCGTTTCTCGCACAAGATTTCCCAGGTTGGCGATTTGTGCAAGGTTGGCKCCGCCTTCCATCATTCGCTCGACCCGCTTCTTTTCTTTCTTGTCCTTTCGAGACGTCGTGAGACGGATCATGGTCGACTCCTCGAATTCGATTCGTTCGGCTTCCTTTTGTGCCAGGGCCCTAGAGGCCGCGCGTTGCTTTCCGTAGACTTCGGAATTGCCGCCGCCAAAGACGTCTTCCGTCTCGGGTTGGTCTCCGTACTGCTGGCGCAGTGTCTGGGCCAGCTCCGTCGCGCGGAGCTTTCGTCTCTGTCGCTTTTCCTTCTCCAATCGCTTGTCTGCAACGTCGTGTGTGTATGGAACGGCGGTCAATCGCGGAGCAACATATTTCTTGCTAGCAGCGCCGTACTCCTCCTCGTCGTCATCGTCCTCATCGCCATCGTCCTCGTCTTTTTTATTCTTCTTCTTCGACTTGCCCTGCCTTGACATGGAAAGCGTTGCTCTAGCCGCTGCTAGATCGTCGTCTTCGTCCATGCCGTCGSCACTATCGTCGGAATCTTCACCTCCGTCGCCACTATCGTCACCTTCGTCATCATCGCCACTATCGTCACCTTCGTCGGAATCCARCATGGATTTCGGATCGGGCCGGTGCCTCAGGGGATCATCCTGGCCGTCGTCTCCAAAGCCAACGCCCCCTTCGTCGTCGCTTTGGTCGCCRTCGTTRCCAACACCCGTAGCAAATGCCGAAGAATCCGTCAGAGACGCCAGCAACTTGTCGATTTGGTARCGAAGCTTTTTGTCTAGGCCACGGGATTTGTCCAGGACGGTTCTCATCTCGAGCAATCTACGTCTTTGTCGCTKTTGCTGCTGTTTTTTGTCCGAATCCTCACCCTCGTCGTTGCTATCCTCTTCCTTGCTCTCTCCAYCGGATGAWTCCACAACAGCATCTCGAAGATGGACCGTCAATTCGATCAGGTAGGACAGGAGAAGAGTGTTCTTGACATGGATAAAATCGAGGCCTTTCGTGGACGGCAGGGGCGGCTCGACACCATCGTCGCTTTTCTCCGATCTACCACAAAACGAGTCCACGGCTGGCAGCAACGAAGCTTCTACTTTCTTGAGCGTTTCTTTTAGTGCGTCAACCGTCGGGTTTTGAGAGGTGGAATCGGCTTCTGCAGAAGCAGATTTCTTTTTCTTTGCCATCGCTATGATTCTTTTCGTTRTTGCGTCTTTGGGGTGAGACCGAAATCCTGTTCGATCGTAGGAAATACGCCGAACTCCTGTGGTTATTTTGTAGCGCTATTTGTATCGTTGCGGTTGCGGTTGCTGTTACGATGGCTGCTACTACAACTGCTGTTGACTGGTATCGTTTCTGTTTCTGTTTCTTCGAAAGCCAACCGCAGTACGAGTACGATTACGAGTATCGTACTGGTAGACAATGAATAAAKAGCTGAAAMCKAAAGAAAAATGGTCGGTGAGATGAGCTCGGAGTGATGGTTGGTAGCGAACACTGGTATTGTTTTCCCGCGACCGGCTGATTCACGAGTGAATGAGTCGTATGAGAATGTCTGACCATCAACCATCCATCCACCCATTTTTCGTAACAATCTCGCGTCCATCTCGGAGCACATCACGCGCATCACGGTAAAATCATTTTTTCTTTCCTTGATCATTCGAAAAATACTGTCTAACTTCTGTGGAAGCGACTTGAGCAGATCTCCTCTTCATATTCGTCACCAACACAATCAAATCAACACACACCACGTTTCGATCTATTGCAACCACCGCGACAATTTAATTAACAATATGGTGTGGCCGTTTTGCCCTTCCTGTCGTTCTACGCTGAAAGTAGACAGCTCGGGTTCCATTTCTTGCAATGTCTGTCCGTATGCGTCGAACCTCGATGAACTCGATCCCTCGGAAATYCCGTCTTCGGTCACCTATTCCGCATCCCGTGCTACACCGTTGTGGGCCAAGACGGATGCCGAGCAGGAATCGCTGAGACGAAACAAAGAGCCCACGAGGGCAACGATCGAGGAACCCTGCGTGAAATGTGGACATCCCGAGGTGGGGTACTATACCGTCCAGTTGCGAAGCGTCGACGAAGGGCAAACCGTCTTTTACGAATGCCCGGCGTGCAAGCACACCTGGTCGATCAACAACTAGAKTTTCGCTTTGCTGTTCATGAATTTGCACTCAGAAATTCGAAAGAAAGATAATTGGAAAACWTGAATGGGAAAAAGTGGTCGGGGTTGGGCTAGAACGAACAGTGTCAGTGTCGAGTGGGTTTCGGTCTAGCTAGGATCGAACAACAATTGGATGTGCTGGAATGAATCTACCGCTGCACAATATGGGGATTGCGTTCGCGAGAAGGCGAAGTAATGTTGGAAGTTCACGAACATGGAAAGGTGTGGTCGAGAACGACAGGTATTTCTAGGTACGAATTCGAGTTTGCTAGCCGAATACTTCGTTACGAAAAAGAATTTTAATGATGATGAAAAAAAACCTGCACAGGGATTTCGAGCGGCTGGAATTTATTTTGTTTGTTTGTACCAGTCTCAGTGAAACCAACTAGTAATCTTCTCTCTGAAAAAAACTCTTGACTAAAATATCTGTAATTATTGACGCAACGGGTCGCTTTGAGTTTTTCTCCGTCCACTCATTTCATTTTCTTTTCGCTCTTGACGCGTATGACTAGATGTTGGTGCCAAGAAATTCCGGTTATTCGTGCCATTTGCATTTTGTGTGTTTCCAACGCATACATCGGATGACAAAGCTTAAATGAAAAGCTATCCGGGCTCAAAGTATGGTCGTGAAATAAGCCAAAAAACCTGTGGTTGTATTTCATACAACATAGGTTGCACTTCTTTTTCTACTTCTCGTTCAATTTCTGAAACAAGATCGAAATATTTAGGAACCTCACTAAAAACAATACTWAAATCCGAACGCAAAGTAATAAGCATGTTCTCTAAAATCTTTGTGCCAGTGAGTGTATCGCATCCACTGCGATCCACATTTTAGAAGCACAACTATCTTCGATGAGCTTTTCCATGAATAAAATTGCCTCCTCGTCCGTTAGATTCAGCTTCAATCGATCGCGGACGCCTTGGATCGCATTTTCCATGCTTTGAGTCTTCTCTAAATCGGGCAAACCRCACCCTTCTAGTAACCTGATCAGCGACAGCAAGTGCCGGACATTCTCAGGCCGTCGCAAAGTCAAAAAGGCACCGCACGCCAAGGAAAGAAACTGACAAAAATTATCGCTCTTCCACCCTCCCATTCCATTTATCATGTCTTTTGTGATTCTCATTGGGAGATACTTCTTGGGGTCATTACCAAGTACAAAAGAGAAATCGCAGTGAAAAAAATGACCCGACTCRTGGAGCAAAAGGTTGTCGAGATGCCGGTCGCCGACGCCCAGAATATATGTTACCACGCTATACCCAGCGCAAGACTTGACAAAGGTATCCATCACGTCCCTCCTGATTTTATAAGATTCGTCAGGGTCGTATGCCAGCGAACGGAGAAAGTCTTGGATGGGGTTGTTTTTCCTGCTTGGTAAGACATAGTTACCACGAGCATTACGCTGTTCTGACTCGTCGTCACTACGAAGCCGATTCAGTGATTCATATTTGGTCATTCCTGCCCTGGCTACCGACGACATAGCGATGCTATCATTGTCGTCATCTTCCATGGCGTCYTCTATTTCATTGTTTCCTATCCTGGTCAACTTGACACTTTTGTTCCTGTCTCTGTTTTTTGCCAAAATGGAACCGGCAAATGGTTGGCAGATCTCTGAAAGCGGCACACTTCCTGGCACCCATTCAATAAAACCCCTCCGTTTGCTGACAGGAATGGCACGAAAAGTTAGCATTTTTAGATGAAGCCCGCACGATTGTAAAATTCTATCACACGACTTGATAAACTCAATAGCAAACATTTCTTGCCGCACATCATCGTCGTGTTTGTAAAGCAGGCTGCGYTTCACGGAGCTCTTCGTTTCCAGAACTTTCGTTGATATTCGGAACTCGATCTCCATACATTGCATGAGTTCAGCATACGAGTCTTTGCGCAACTCTCCGTGCTCGTCAAAGTCGTTGAAAAAGTCAGGGGGCACCACTCGGGTTTTGCAAGAAACCTGTTGCTTCCCGCTTGTCTCTTCCCAAAAAGGAACCAAATTGATCCAGCAATATCCGCATTCTTGTTGCCTAGAGGTACGATCAGGGGTTGAATTGGTGGGGTTTTGAGCGCCTTTTTCCTTTTCGTTGATCAATGTTTCGGAAAGTCGGAGCGAAAATGTTTTCGGTGGACCCCATGTCGATCGAGTATCAAATACCATCAAATTTGCCAAATTCCAAACGTGGTGATTGGATTTATGGTCGACTCGAACGCTTTGTTGAGATTCAATAACAGAACCAGCAATCGATCCATGTGCTGTGAACCCGTGATACGGCAGTTTTTCGTTTCCTGAAAGGGCTTTGGATCCTCTCAGCGCAACAAGCTCGACACTGGTGCGATAGATTTTTTCTTCTCCAATCAGATTTGGTATGGACATCCTACTTGGCAATTTTGGATCCCTTCCACCTCCAGTATTAGATCTATCTTCTTCGATTCTTCTTTTGCAGTCAAATGTTAGCAGTAGAGGAAAATGYGCACTGGGCAAGATATAGCACCCTTTCGTGTCAATCGATATGAGGGGTTGAGACGATGAGTCGATCGGATCTAAGAGTGGCATCGAATAATATTCTGTATTGTATTTGTCTAGGCGCWTCCGCATAGCGTTTGTCACTTGTGTCAAGGCAGATTGATTGTTTGCAGTCCATGGCTGTAAAGCCCARCGCGCAAACTTTTGCGAAAACGATTTCATAAGCGACTTCTCTACATCGGTGCATACTGTTTCGAGCTCATCTAAAAATTTCACAGTGTTAGCAAAGAGAGAATCGGCCGATTCCGACAGTGACACATTGCCCAACTCTTTTAGTATCATGAAGGGTGATTTCGTGTCACACGAGTTGGATCCCTTCGAACCATTTATCAGATCTCCGCAAAGTAACGGCGGTGACACCGAGGACGACGTCATTCTATCGCCATCTGTAAGGTTTCTCTTTTCTTTGACAGGTCTCTGTTTTTCACGAGAGGCGACGTCGGCATTCTCTGAATCATTGGAGACGTTTGTCGAAGATGACTGCTTATTTTTGGCATGCCCCTTYTTCTTCTTACGGAAAAATGGAAATCGAMGTCGGGGCTTTGGTTTTTCTACAGTAGTAGATTTTGCTTTCGCAGAACTAGATGGTACTTTTTGCTCACTAGCTCTGTCGAAGGTTAAGTCCTTTGCCTGTTGTGATTCTTCGTGGCTTGGAGTTGTCCCCGTTACAGCTCGTATGGAAGGTAAGCCATTGCTTCCGTACGTATGATCTAACTTTTGAATTGTATTTCGGACTAGATGTTGTTGTTGTTGTCTTTCTTTTCTCAATTTCCGCAAAGAGTTTTTGATGTAACCGTTGTCCAATGATCTAGCAAGAAATTCCATGTGATGAGCCAAAGAAAATGACGATAATGCAATATTAGTGRTGCCGAAGCTGTTCGGTATACTGATGCTTCCATTGTTGTTCTTCATTTGATTTTGATGAACAAGCTTCAACAAGAACTGAGTGAGTTCTAGGGGCTTGTTTTCGTTAGCCGTCAACCACCCAAACCAAAAGAGCAAATAGGTCGAAAGTGCATCCAAAATAACCGAAGCTTCCCGATCCTTGCTCCTGCTATTATTTGTTTCAGCTTTTAGCAAGAGGTCACGCAAAATATTCAAKAAGTTATTGTCTCCAGACGCATTCATTTTCAACTCCACTTCATTATATCTTGCAATATGGTACCGGAACACGTAGATGAAGGCTTGCTGGACGTTCCAGCAGTCGAAAATAGAAGGACACGTCGGAAAAAAGGACAACGGTGGTTGCTGATTTGAATTTGGCTGTGTATTGTTACCATTACTTTTCACCGAATGCTTGAGCAACGGACAGGGTCGATAAAAGTTGCCATATTCTCCTAAAGAAGACGATGCATTGTTCTCGTTGATTACATAGTGATMCGTGCGGTTATCGTTTCCCCATATTGAAAGAGGTTCTCCTGCTGCAACACGTTCCGCCAATTTCGATAGCAACGAAGAAGGCGATACAATAGAAGCCGATTGAGATCGTCGACGGAGAGAGTCAAAATCTCCTGCTTGTATGCTGCGTCTACTGGAACCGACAAAACCTCCTCCTGGCCCCAAAAGAGGATGAATTCGAACCTGAACTCCATTCATTTCCGCGGCAACWCGTGGCCGGGTCGGCTGTTGTGGATGTCGTGTTAACGTGCTACTATTGATACTTATTCCATTTGTAGACCCACCTGGTCCTGTCGTATTAGATCTTTTCGATCCCTTCTCTTCCAAGGCATCCTGTTGGCGTTCCCAGTGACCACTGCGGGCTCTAGATGGCGTAAAGCACAATTGTATCCGTATTCTATGAGTGGATTTGCTTTCACCCCGTTGCTGCAGGATGCAATCCGAAGTTGCTTCCTTCAAGGCAGCAGCAACAGACGAATGATCCAAGTGATAAATAGTACTCATATTGCTGCAGATATCCTCGTCTTCGGGTCTATCTTCATTCTTGACAYTGTCTTCCCGAAATCTACCCAAGTTAATTCCAGCAACAATCGACGATGGCCGCACTCCGGCGCGATCTGCGATTCCGTTGGGTTTTACGCGTTGTACTAAACAAAATTTTCCACACGGCCCCCAATCGATCCCATACGGCGGATCGCTCAATAATATTACCTTGTAAAGCCTTCCATTCCGTATGAACGTTAATGAAATGGGGCTGCTGATTTTCATTTTTGAATTTGGGCTGATAGCAGAAGCTGTGMGACTACGTGCTTCACTATCGTTTTTACTGCCTATTTGTTCCACATGTTCGTCTATTGTCCCGGTACTATTGTTGGTTTTACAAGCAATTCCTTCGTATTGCCATATCCGTTCAAGGGCCAGCTTCGATGGTTCTGCCAGCAAGTTCAATTCGCCATCATTGATTCCTACCAACACAGAATTTTCTTCGATACCTGCACACCATGCTTCCGAACCCGGTCGAATGGTTCGTACATACAAGCCCAGTGACAGCCGAGAAAGTGTCATCCCCAGTGATGGCTGTGGCGGTTGCTGGGGCTGTGATTCKGAAGGAATTGCTGGTAACAGTGACACGTCGTCATTTCGATCGTCCATACTCGCCGGCTTACTCGCATCACTATCATTCCGACCATTCAACTTTGTTGATGATTGAGAAAGGTCGAGAACGGCAGTGTAGGATACGTAGGATGAAAGTCCAGCTAAACCGACACCTTTCCAGCTATTGTGGTTTTTCTTCTGAGTTTGATCTGGATCAATCGAAGTTGTTGTCACATCTGCGTTTGTTTCTATTTCTTTTCGATAAGGAAAGTCTGTTCCAAAMACCGCTCGGATCCATTCGGCACGAACATCGTCACGAAAGGCATCCTGTAGGGGCTCGGATACAATCTTATTTTGTAATGGATCGTACACGGAGTTGTTGTCAGTCTCGCTTGTCATGGCGCCGTCGTTTGTGGAAGGVGAACTAGAATTTTCGTCTGTCTGTTGAAATAAAATATCAATTTCCTGGCTGCCACACATCACCAAGTGCGACAAGGAGAATTGGTCAAAGGGAACGGATACGGATGCTGCCTCCCGAATGGGTTTCGTCGGTATTTTCCCGMCCAACAACGCCCACAATGTTTTTTCTTTTGGTGTTTCGCAGCTYTTCTTGTGTGCTTTTCTTTTTTTCCTCGTTTCCAAATGTTTGCGTTGCCGTCGGATCCCTCGTTGCCTTTGGTRAGGTGGTCTTCGCTGGAGATCCCGCTGAAGATAATCGCTTTGTCCTCCGATCTCCTCTCCACCTTGTCGCTTTTCACGGTTGGTCCGCACCCCCCGACTTTTGTAGAAGGCCTTTTCGCGTTCCTGTCGCTCGTATTCTTTATACGCAATGTATACGACAGGTACAAACATTCATCAACCAGTGTGTTGTTTGGAASACTTGGTTTCAGAGTTTGATAGCTGCGAGAGGATCAAATCGAATCGGATCGGATCGGATCGAATCAAAATGAACCTATCAAGTTGGGTCACACACTTGATATGCTCAGTGAGAATAAAGCTTTGATTTTCCAAGCAGTGATCCCGTAAATCGACTTGTTCTCGGAGAGGGAGCAACTCTGTACCGTGCGATGGTGGTGATCTACCATTGCGTATGGTCTGTTGTCAATAACATTTCCTTTGTGTTCAATCTACTGTAATCCGCAACAACCGAAGAGTACGACTTGCATATCATTCGACGCGATTACTGTATGTTTTGAAGTACAGTAGTTAAGTACCGGTACGTACCGTGGTCCGTACGTACCGTATTCGACCAAGGACCAAGAACTTACTGTCCCTCGTAGTACTACGAGTACGTACTTTACGTACTTGTACCAGTACTCGAAACGCAACGCTGGTATGGTACGGCAGCGCGTACTCGTACTGAAATCATTTTTTAGAGTTTTGTCATTCTCAGTCCTTTCTCATCTCTGAACACGTCTGGAACCAGGGGTCATAATTTTGACCGATGTACGGTACGAGTACCCCATTTTTGCAACCGATATTGCAAAACGGTCGAAGGAGTCTATCGGTACTTAAAATACGTACATTTCTACGTAGGCTATAATACCCCAACTGATCCCACTCCATTTACCACCGTACTTACACGTCCTACATAAATTCTGGTAGGAATTATACTGTGGAACCGTATTGGCTTTTCTGCTGTGGTTGCATCCGCACCTCTTTTGGTTGCCTAACACAGAGCAAATTACACTGAGTATGCAACCATTTTGCAACTCCTTCGCCTTGTCACGAGAGGTGGTGCATTTTCAGCGTCACGAGAGGTGCATTTTTTGCTCACAAAATAAGAAACCAACGCTTGCATACGAGTACCGGTTCAAGCAAAACCCCAGCAAGCAGCAAGAAGAACAAGCAAACAAGAATACTGTAAGTATCGAAAAACAGCAGCACAGCAAAAACAGCAGCACCACAACACAGCCCCCTGACTCACGAGACGAGGTGCATTTTTTGCTCACAAAATAACAGCAACACTTGCATGATACGAGTATACACTCCCATACGAGTATCGCATACGAGTATCGCATACGAGTACCGGTTCAAGCAAAACCCCAAGCAGCAGTCCTCCCATACTACGAGTATACTAGTACTACTGCTACGAGTACAAGCAAAACCCCAAGAACTAACTATCGAAAAACAGCAGCACTGGCTGCAGAATCATGGTAACAGCTCAAGCGGAAGAACGTGATACTAGGCCTACTCGTCCCCGTAAACGCAGGGGGGGAACTGTAACGCCTCCACGTGATGTGAACCAGCCAGGGCAATGGAATAGATATCATAAGATTATATTGGAGCTAATGGATCATGTACATGGAAGACTGGATGAAGGAGGAGACAACGACCATCGATTTCCAAATGATACGCTTTTCACTGAAGAGCAGCTAAGTCTTCTAACGCCGACTCATATCTACAAGTTCTTTGCAAAGAAAGTGTTTGGTAGGGAGGATCCTGGTGTGGATGATAATCCTACTGAAGGAAGATCTTCAACCCTTGTTTATTACAAGAAGGCGTTATCCTATTTCATGCCAAACAAGCTGCACAAATGGACTGTTGTTGCTGGCGTTGGCAGTGGAAATCCTACTAAGTCCCAGCAAGTGAATGATTTGATATCTGCTGTCATTAAGAAGGAAACCAGAGCGCTTGGCCAGGCAAGCAAGATGGATCGACCGCTTACAAAGGATGAGTTCTTGCAGACACTTGAACTAATGGGAAACCATGGACAAATACTTAAAAGACTTCGATATCTTGCAATGATTAAGTTTCAGTTTCATCTGATTGGCCGGAATGATGATACAGCGCATGTCGGAAAGGACAGCTTGGAAAGATCTGCTGAATTTCCTAGATTCCTTACAGCAAAGATAAAGTGGTCTAAGAATGTGAGAGAAGAGAGGGACTGTCCAAAACAAATCTTGCTTGGTGCCATGGATCATCAAGCTTGTGTTGTACTGGGGCTTGCCTTGTATCTTGAAAAGTGGTGCAAAGGTGGTGATGGAGCTGCAAGTCAATGGTTATTCACTGAAGGAGTTACAGATAGGAGATCACCACAAAAGGATGTTGCAAAAGAGGTGAATAAGGGGAAGGCCGCATACTCTAATTTCATCAAGCGCCATGCATTTAAGAATCCTGTCTTTATTCCAGAAAGACCACCATCAGAAGGGAAGCTTGGTACTCATTCGATTCGGAAGTTTGGCACAACATATGCTAGACAGTGTGGTTGCACAAGGGATGAGGTTGATTATAGAGCGCGTTGGAAGTCTCGAAGGCAACAGGATCGATACACTGACACGCAGCTTGCATGGCCTGATATTAACGTTGCTGCTAAGCTCAGCTTTGGAGGGATTTGCTACTACAAGCCTTTGCAAGGAACAGGAGTAACTGATGAATGGCTTGCTTCTTCAGTAGCACCAGCAATTGCTAATGTGTTTGGTAACCAGGTGGCAGCAATCCTAGGAAAGGCATTGCTTTGGGCTTGCTTCGATCCAGCAATGCAAGCTTCGGGCTTGATTCCGGAGGATGTAAAGCGTGACGTCGTTGCTTCTTGGGTTCAACTCAATTACAGTCACCCAGTTGGTCATAGATTGGATGCTGATGTGAATCCTATCAAGAAAGTTGAGCTGACTGCTAATGAATTCAGTGGGCAAGTTCACTTTGATGAGCTTGCAGATCCAGATGATCTGGCGGGCGGAGGGGGAGCCCCTGGAGCCGCTGGAGGGACTGCTGTTGGGATTCGATGGACTCAGCTGCAGTGGAATCATGCAATGTTCTCAAAGCTTTTTGCTACAGCCAATGAAGTGAATGATATTAAGAACCGACAGATTGCAAGTGAAGCTAAGTTCAACCAAAAGCTTAATAAAGCCATCGAGTTGTCCCAAAGAGCTGCAATGGCGCCAGTGGCAAGACGGAGGCCTCGTCCGCGTGCGTTGAACAGTGGCGCGTCGGAGACTGGCAACGCCGAGCTGGGCAACGCTGAGCTGTGCAAGTGTCCTCACGACCTTTATGTTCTTTGGAATGAGTGGGAAGTTGGTGTTGGTCTCAATAAGCCTGCAAAGGAGTTTACTGCAGCTGAGAGAGGTCGTGTAAAGAGCAAGTACTGCAGGCGATTGAAGTTCTGGAAGTGCATGGAAAGACTCATCAGAGCTGGTTGTTCTTCTGAAGTAGCTGTAAGAAGAATTTATACAGTTTATGGAGGCCCATCCAAGCGTGTCTCCTACATCCTTAAAGCTATGGGTCCTCACGAGGCCCATGGAGGCCACACATTGCTTAGAGGACCGGCTGTTGGTGCTGCTTCTTAATCCTCACCGACGTCGATCGACGTCGATGCTTGTTCTTTGTTGCGTGTCTTCTTTCCTTACTACTTGTCCCCCCTTATATCGAAAAATCATAAAAATATAGTGTNTACTGAAATCATTTTTTAGAGTTTTGTCATTCTCAGTCCTTTCTCATCTCTGAACACGTCTGGAACCAGGGGTCATAATTTTGACCGATGTACGGGAGAGGGACCGAAGGGACCATTTTTTTAATATTTTTGCGCGATCAGCGCAATTTTAACGGTATATATGAAAAAATAACGGTTTCTTTTTACATCTTTTGTTCTTCAATTAGGGGGTTATAAAGAGCATGTTGATTGGGTGCGAGTAAGATTGAATACAGTCCATTTGATATGCCTCTTTGAGATTCGTCACTATGCCTTTGGGGGAGGTCACTATTTGGAAAAATTCTTTTCAACTCCCCGAAAATTATGTTTATTTAATCAATTTATAAAATTTAATTAATTGATTAATAAAACATTAATTAAAATTTAATTAATCTTTTACTAATCAATTAATAAAATTTAATTAATTCAATAATTAAATTTAATTAATTATTCCTCTCTATGAGTGGTAGTACCAAATGCTACACGCATGCCATTTTTATTAATCGATTAATTAAATTTAATTAACTGATTAATTAAATTTAATTAAGCATTTAATAAAAATTTTATTAAGTGCATAATTAAATTTAATTGTTAAATTAATTAAATTTAATTAATCGATTAATAAAAATGACTTCACCGGTGTTCAAAACTTGTATTCGGGGTTCGCACCTTTAAGTAGATTCACTATGATCCAGTCACAGAATGACTCATACGGAACAATAGCCTTCATGTAGACTTGTTTGATTTTTTTAATTCCACAAAGTGGCGAACCACATATTATTGACAGCCGTTATATTATTTTTTGAGAACCTTATAAGCGCGCGGCGCGCAAGAATATTAAAAGAACGGTCCCTTCGGTACCTCTCCGGTACGAGTAGTACCAAGTACCACTATTTTGCAACCCAGTTCTCCTTTTTTTTTCTACAGGATTTTGCTTTGGGGATTCTACGTACAATGACCATTAGGTCAATACGTACGAGGTTGGAAGGCAAATGAGGTGGTGACAGGTCCGGAGTCAGTACAAATTGTACACGGCTCTACGGAGAGAACAATACACCTCATTTGCCTTCGCAACATGAACCTGTCTCACTTTGAAAAAAACCATTAAGTATTTTTATATCAAAATACAAGTATTTAGTAGTACTAATTTGTACGTAGGATGCTACGATACTGATATGGAAAACTCTCATTAAAAAAACACTTGTTGGTCGATTGATCTGAGACTTTCGGATCCCCTTCTTATTATCATTATAATGAAGTTATTCCAGTAGGTGTGTGGCCAGGAAGTGTCCCCAATTGCTCTGTCTGGAGGGCGCGACAACCCTCATGCTGGTTTTTTTCTTTTACTAGAAAAACTGTGCAGTTTTTTGGGAATTATAACCTGTCACACATTTTGTCCACACATTTGCCTTCCTACCTCGTACCGTACCGTATATCAGCACCTCTCCATTTACAAACATTTTAACAAAATTTCTACCTATTTTGTAGTAGTTATTTCTACTGTGCAACCGTATTAGCACCTTCACTGGAACAGMTTGGGTGCCAAAAACAGTTGCCCAAATAAGGCTAATTATGCATTGAGTGCAACCAATTTTGCAACTCCCACACCAACATCATTCCCRTGAACTAAAGTATAGCAAAAAACAACATGATGAGCTCTTGCTTGTTGAGCTCTAAAACTGTATCAAACTCATTCATAAAATCAAGAAGCAAGAAAGAACAACAAGAAGAAGAAGAACAAGCAAAACAAGAAGCACTAAAACAAGAAGAGCAACAAGGAGGAAGAATAAGCAAGCAACAAAACCAATGGTACTAGTAGCAGCAACAACAGGAGCAAGCCAGCTGCATGCAAGGAAGAGATGCAGCGGACCACCAGTGACCCCTCCACGCAACGTGAACAAGCCAGGGCAATGGAAGAGATACCATTCAGTGCTTCTTCTTGAACTGATGGATCACTTTACAGGAAGATTGSGTCAAGGGGGACCGGATGGAGATCACCGATACCCCAGTGATRAGCTCTTTACACACAAGGAGCTGAGCCATCTAAAGCCGATCAATATCTAGTWCAAGTTCTTTGCAACGAAAGTTTATGGATGCAATGATCTGGATGCGRATGATAATCCTACTGAAGGAAGAGCTTCTTCATTGGTCTACTATAARAAGGCACTATCATAATTCATGCCAAACAAGCTACATTAGTGGACTGTTGTTGCTGGCATTGCAAGTGGCAATCCTACCAAGTCACAGGAAGTGAACAATCTAATTGCAGCTGTTACTATCACCAAGAAGGAAACAAGAGGACTTGGAATCGAGAACAGCATGGATAGGCCCCTGACCAAAAATKAGTTCCTCCAAACACTTGACTAAATGGGCAAACATGGAACCCTGATCAATTGACTTYGATATCTAGCAATGATCAAGTTCCAGTTCCATCTAATTGGGCGCAATGATGAGACTTCTCATGTAGGAAAACACAGCTTGGAGGTATCTACTACTACTACTGAATTCCCCAGGTTCCTTACAGCAAAGATGAAGTGGTGATAGAACGTTCACAAAGAAAGAGACTGTCCTAAACAGATTTTTCTTTGATCAATAGATCACAGGTCTTGGGTGGYATTTGGCCTTGTTGCTCTATTCCTGGAGAATTGTTGCAGATCAAGCACTGAGTCATCTAGTCTAGTCAGTGGTTGTTTGTTGAAGGTGTTGCCAATCAATGCTTTACTGTGCTGGCAGCTATGGACAAGGAAGTTAAGGGCAAGAACAACTATTATAATTTTATAAAGCACCCACTATGTGTTTAAGAATGAGGTCTTTGTTGCTGAAAGAGCCRAGGTCAAAGGAAAGCTTCTTGGTACTCATTCCATTAGAAAGATTGCAAGAACSTATGTCAGACAGTGTGGTTGTTCAACAAGGGATGATGTTGATTATTGAGCAAGATGGAAATCTAGGCATCAGCAAGATAGATACACTGACACACAGCTGCCATGGCCTGATATTGATGTTCTTGCATTGAAGCTTTGTTTTGGAGGCGTCTGTTACTACTACAAACCAGTTGAGGGGACTGGAGTAACAGACCAGTGGATCACCTCTGCAGTAACACCAGCAATTGCTAATGTCTTTGGGGATCAAGTAGCAGCAATCCTCAGCAAGGTGTTGCTTTGGGCTTGCTTTGAGCCAGCAATGGAACCCAGTGGCTTGTTGTCAGATGATATGAAGAGAGATGTTGTTGCTTCTTACTACTATGTACAGCTCAGCTTCCAGCACAGAGGAGGTACTAATAGAAGCATGGATGATGATAATATAAAGCCCATTGAAAGAGTGGAGATCATCATTGCTAATGAAATAGGAGGCYAAGTACACTTCAATGAGCTAGCTGATCCTGACTACCTCCTTCAATCAGCAGCTGCTGGTGGGGGTCTTGGAGTTGGCAGCTTTAGAACGACTCAGTTGCAATGGAATACTGCAATGTTCTCCAAGSTATTCACAACTGCTAWTCAAATGAATGATATCAAGAACAGCAAAATAGCTGTTGAAGCTAAKTTCAACATGAAGCTCAATCAAGCCATATCTTTGTCTCAAGGAGCTGCAATGGCTAAAAAGCATAAAAATAGTACCGTGTATATGTTAATTGTGAGTGTTTTGCTATCCTCAACAAGAGGAAGACCATCTTAATASYWGMYRRCAGGAGTGTTGGTATCAGTGTTGTTATGGATGTGATTGGCAAGGATTACTCTCCTGACTTGTGTTTTTTTCATAGAATTTGCCTTGTGCGCGATTGTGTGAGCATTTCTCATCAACAATCACTCTGATACTCCACCAGCACTCCAGCAGGAGGAGCAGTCTTGCTGCCAAGCACTGCTGTCTTATAAGACCTACTAGTACATAGATTATGTACTGTGGTCTACAGGGTTGATATTTTAGTAACATTTTCTTTGTGTACTGGTGGTCAAGTAATTACAGTTTGGTTAGGGATTACTGGTGGTTCTTGTAATAGTACAGTAGTCTGGTACTACGTACCGTACTGTGCATTATTGGAAGAGTAGGTTTGAATCTAAAATACCGTTTGACATACAGTATCATATGTATGATATCCACTATTCATAGTAACATGTGAAATAGCTCAAAAACTGATTCTGGCGCGAGAGTAAGGTAGGGTACGTACTCGTACCGTTCGTGCCGGTCACGGGTGTGAAATGACGACCTGTTAAATGCAGATAGGCTCTCTACCGGTAGTGTCGTATGACTACGCAGGTAAACCGTAAAATCCTACCAGGGCCTACAGACCTCAATGTCATTCTACTCCAACAGAAAAAATTATTACTAGTAAAATCACGGTTAATGTGTTTAATAATGGGCTAGTAACCCGAAAAATCGGGTCTTACAAAAGGAGTYATTGTCTCAGAAGTCTTCCTCAATTTTAGGTAGAGAATAATTCTTWTAAGAGCCCGGGCGAAGAAATTTTTAAAGTACCAGGTACCATAAAGTACGAGTACTGTACTTTACTGTACCACTCAATTTATTTAAAAGGTATATTGGTGAGCTAGTTGGATTCTGAGCAAGATCAATCGTGTGTTTCTTGTGATAARTCTGATGAAGGACTTCCGTGTTCTTGAACGTGGAACCTTATGATAGCATCGCGTGCGGGGTATATTTGGCACGTTTCATTTAGTGGGATTAATGACTTGAACTCACTATTAATATTTAAGGGTCTCATATTCACCGGACCAAACTTTGATAACGGATCCTTGCAGAATGGTCATTCAGCCAAGAAAAAGTCATCCAAACTTCCTCTTCCCGCTTTTCTTTCTGACGCTGACTAAACCCCTCAAAAAAATGACATTCTGTAAACTAAATTGCGTAAACTGCGAGTACCGTATGTAGCAGGACGACTAACAGCAATAGTAACCTACGTTTCTCTACGGACATACCAACCAGTAGAAATACTCGTASTTTAAAAATCAACTGCCATGTATGCGCAACGTAACGGAACCAACCTTTGTCGGCGAGAATCCAAAAGGATTAATCCGCACGAGGAAAAAGAATCGTATTAGTTACTTGCACGCACCGATTCTTCATAATTAARAAGCGAAGACGGATTTTCATCGCGTGAAAATCAATCTCACACAAGGGCTGACAAACTCTATTCGTATTATCATCGTSAATAGACAAGAGCCTCTAAACTCCAGATCTGAGTTGTGACGTTCCAACGTATCAGGTAGAATAGATCCTCATCCGTTGCACAAGCGATAGGAAGAGCTTTTTTTGTTGGACAAGAAGTAAGAAATACTCTATCGTTTCAACCTAGAGAGTATGTAAAACATTTTCGAACGAATCAGATTTCGAAACTTTGGCAAACGCTCAACAATTGTTCTCTGTTACTCGTTTGGTATTGAAAGTTCACAGGTAGAACTCAGCTCGGTGCTGCACTTCATTCTTATCGCTTCACTTTTCTTTTGACAAGCATCACTCTATGGCRCCGTTCCCCTCGAACACGTCACGGGAACCCTATAAACTAGAAGRTCATCACCGAACCATGGAGGACAGCACCTATAGCGGATTTAGACAAGACCTTGCCAAAATCACAGCTGTAGACGATTGTACAGAAACTYACAACAAATCCTCCAARAGAAGTGACCCAAGCCTTTATACTGATGCGGGCGGTGCTGGACATGTTGACAGCACAAGACCCAAGAAAAGAGTGAAAGGCTCTAGCAAMYCATCCCTGTCACTACCGATTATTGGCTCGTATTTAATCAAGACCGATTACGACGACGACATTGTGAACGTTACTGTAACTACTGATGTTAATGACAGCGATGACGACGTAGACACGAGTACTCCAGCTAGCCGCAACGTACCCTTTCATGCATGTGAATGGTGGAAAGATGGGACCGCATACATTCGAGACTGGATGACTACTCCGCACGATGACGCGGACACAACAAAGACATCTGAATTCTCTGCTGCCAGTCAGAACGAATATAGCGAATTTCTTGGGTCGGCGGACAAAGACCCTAGTCCGGTTCTGAAATTCTTGGGAAACATAGCGGCTTCCAGAGAGAGCCATGATCACAGCAGYCATGAAGTACAGTCGCGGTATATGGAACCTTTACCCCTCAAAACACGAAACGGGGGGGCTCTGTACAATGCTCCASAAGCGTTTCGTAACAAGGCATCTAGGTTACCCATGTCCACACGGAAGCCACCTTCCGGAACTTTGATGCCTCAATTWAATCAGTTTGGAGAGACGACCTTTGATCCTTACATGTCGTCTCAAGGGCAACATTATCATAACMAGCAACCATATCAGCTGCAGGCCCAGAAACAGCAATCGGTGCAGGCGTGCCATCCCCCTTCCTTCTTACCTGAATCAATCCATGCTGCACAACATAAAAAGATGCAGCAACAAACTTACCATGGCCAAAGACAACAGATCGACCAACCGGGTTTTGTACGGGCTGATATCGCTTTGAATAAACCTCAAGCAAAGGTGTTGACTGACGATATCTTTTGTCTSGGCCGTGACTTTCAAGAATCCTATCACGAAGATACATCTTTTGACGAAGATTCCGTCACGGGTGTCATTGCCAATCCAARTACGAGTATCAATCCAGAAGACAAGGTTGACGAGAACGAGAATATTAGGAAAGAAATKATTAGTGCTTTTGTGAACTTCGACGGAGAAGATTCCAAAAGTGTAATAGAAAACACGGACGATCGTAACGATATCATGGACAAGGAAATAGCAGTCTTAATAGCCCGCGACAATGGCCTTGAACCTTCCTCTGGCATTTCTACAAGCAAGGGAACTGCAGATGACACCGAGCTCACGGGCGCAGAATCTGACGCTTTTTTTGATGGTGGAAATCTWTTGGATTCGAACCCATCTTCCGACCCTTCCCGAGACATCTCCAAGAATATTTTGGACTCTTCGAAGACACACTTGGAACTAGGCACCGACAAATCATCGACAGAGGTAAGATTTCGCGCGTATCAAGCCGAAAGTTGGACCGAGAAGTTTGAAGAGTTAATCGAATTCCGAAAGAAAAAAGGTCATTGTTTGGTTCCAAATTGCTACCCGGATAATCCAGCCCTAGCGCAATGGACAAAACGCCAGCGTTATCAGTACAAGCTGAAGCTTAAAGGCAATCGCTCCACTCTAACGGACGAAAGGGTCRATGCCCTGGAGGACATTGGCTTCATCTGGGATTCTCACAAGGCTGTTTGGTCCGAAAGRCTGCAAGAACTCGCGCAATTTAAGAAAAGATTCGGTCATTGTAACGTGCCTAGTCGGTATARAGACAAYCATCAATTGGCGATATGGGTTAAGCGACAACGACGTCAATGGAAAAACAAATTAGATGGCAAGCCTCATTGTATGACCGAGGATAGAAAACAAGCTCTCGAAGCCATTGGATTTGTATGGGACATGAAAATGTTGAAGTATGCAACAAAAGGAAACAAGGAGAATGTTAAGAAGAAGATGTCATGTAAAAGCAAGGGAGTATAAAAAATGCCAAACTTTGCTTTTCTCATCTTGCAAAAAAGTCGAACTTTTGCAAGTTCACCTGGAAGAATACCATCATCTATAGGGACAGTCGGTCAGCCTCACACAGAGTCGCTGAACTAGACGTCACCTAATTTAAGCCATATATCATGCAAATAAGTATTTATCTACATACATATCATTGAACACAATCTACTTTCGATACTCAGAATCGATTATTGATGCTCTTTATCTCCATRGTTTTTCCTTCCATTCTACAACGTTGTACWACTAAAACGGAGTGGACTGTCACGAAACTCTTTTTCTAAAAAACTTAGTTTGGAAGTAACTTTAGGTCAATTTGCACTCACAGCATCAAGTATCTTAATCATTGATTTGTTCGAGACAAGAACAAGAACAAATACCATCAAAACTTACTTCTGTACTGTTGTATTAGTAGGACAAGTATTGTAGTAGTAGTCATGATGCCAACTGTTCCAGTGTCAGAGATCTTGAACAAAGACAAAGTAGAAGAAGCACCCCATGCTTGCCATCACCACCACATGCTATAGTACTACTAGTACTAGTAAAACAAAAAGAAGAATTTGTGGTGTTTCARTTTGAAAGAAATTAGTAGTCTCTTCCACCTGTTGATGAGGATATATTTGGTGCAGGGTCATGATGCAGCAGCAAAATTAAGAAAAAAATTAAAATCCCTAGCACTACTA